AATGCGAGGCAAATGATAACTATTTTTTACTGTGATTTTGTTGAATGCCTAATAGTCGATACACATCCTCATGGTTCCATCCTTTTTCATAACAAAAAGGACTAGCGCTCCATAAAGTGACTTGCTTTGTTAGATATAGCCTTTGTCAAGAAGCTCCATGAGTTGCTTCTTGAGTTCAGCCATCTCCTTGATGTTCAACCGATATGGAACTTTCGTAGGTGGTTTAGAACCCGGAATAACCTCAATTCAATGATCAACCTCACGGCTAGGAGGTAGCCCTAGTGGCAAATCCTTCAGGAAGATATCTTGATTCCTCGCCAACAACTCCAATATCTTCTTTGGTACAGGATTAACCCTGTCACCGATTCAAACTAAGTCACCAACACACTTAGCTTCCATCACTTGAACCCAAAAGGTCTGACGTCCCCTCTTAGCTGTTTTTTGAGTGGCCCTCATAATCAAGAACTTAGCATCCCAATCCTTTGAGGAGCACTTTGCAATTAGAAGGACACATTAGGATATCCTTCTGACTTCAACGTGGTATGACTTTGTCCAACACCATAAATCCCTCTTATATATTTGTTGAAGAAGTCCATACCAAACACCATTTGAAAATCTAGTATCTTCAACATTACCAAGTCCACTATTACTTTCCACTTGGATATTTTTATTGGAACATCACTCACAAATTTTCTGGCTACTTGCCCACCTTCCGCAAACCGAAAGTGCATAGGCGACATTTGCTCAGCATTCAATCCTAACAACTTAAAACTAAATCTTCAGATATCACACTGTGCGTAGCTCTCGTGTCAATCATCACTCGGATTCAGTGTCCGCAGACAAAGCTTACCAGATACATCAACGGATCAGTGTTTACATTAACTGCAAGAAAAGCTTGAGGAAAGCAACAAAAGTAACTCACCTGCTCTTCCTCATAGTTTGCATTGACCAACTCGTCAGCCCTTTCAGCTTCGCCACCACCATCTTCCCTTATGACATTAACTTGAGACCTTGTCTTATGCTTATTAGGGCATTCTGAGGACCTATGTCCTGACTCTCCACAATGGAAGCAATTACCCACACTACTTGTTCCGCTAGGAGCAAGTTTTGCATGTTGCTACTACTTGTACCCACCAGGAGGAGGAACAAAGGGCCTAGGACCAAAAGAAGCTGTTGGTGGTCTCCAACCACCACCACCTTTGTTAACCATTGCTTGTGAGCTTCTAGAGCGGAACTTGCCTTCCACCCTTTGTTTCCAATCACCTTGTTTATTTCCAAAATTCTTATTCTTATCCGAGTTACCAGCATACGGTTGTTGATATTGTTCCATGAGCAAGTGACTAGTGTAGTGCACCTGAATTTGGAGCCGAATTCTAAGCCCGTTGCGCTACAAAACAAGGGTCCGGTACAATCCCACAAATGCCAACTCCCTGTATCCAGCACTTGCATGCAAAATGGTGTCAGATGGAGTCTAGTACAATTTTGGCATACCGGTGGTCTAACACAAGGAAGAGGGTACCCCACCGACTAGAGCAGCATGGAGCTTAGGCTTAGACCCAAGCCGAACGCAAAACAAGGAGTGGTACAGCCAGCGGGAGCCAAACTAATGTCTCAGATGGTCGGACATGCATTCCAACCACTATCCCTACTATACATTTGGAACCCCCCAGTTTCTCAACCATTGGGAATAATAAAGGGAACCAACTGTACCAACCTTCTACTGTCATGGTAGTAAGGAAAGAATGTCCATAAGGCTTGGCCGACAAGTATCTTTCGATACCCAAAGTCACATTCACGACAACAATAGAGAGATAAAAGTGATGGAAATAGAAGCAAAAACAAAAGGACAAAATGAAATAAAAGTGAGAGGAATGGAAGAATTATGAAATAAAGGGTTAAAGCTTTAAAGTTACTCTTCAAATAATCGCACTATAAGTAATCTATACCAAGGATGAGGTTAAGCTTAATTTAGCACCACTTGTAATAATTAAAACTTAAGATTGAGAACACCTATATGCACAACTAAGTCTACCTCATCTTATGCATATATATGTGTATGGGCATTGTTATAAAGAATGAAAATTAGTTCTACTATATAACACAACTATAAATGGCAATATGTGGCAACAGACTGAGTGATAGAAGATAAACTTAAACCTATATCAACCAATATAAAGAGGATAATATAGGATTTTTTATTATAAAAACAAGCTTTGGAAGTAAACATTGGATGAATTAGCGCCATATGAACCCTTTAATGGTACTTTTAAAAGATGAATAGAAGGGTCATTAACTTATTTGGGCAAAGACCCTCCACTACTTATGTAACTCTTTATTTCTTAAAAGAATTTTTATGTCCAAACCTTCCACCACTACAACACCAACAAGACATTATTGATGCTAAGGCCTTCACTTAGGAAATAGAGGATGTTAATCTAGAAAATGCCAACAATGTTGATATACATAACTAACTTCATTACACATTTAGTAGTGAACATCATGGCCACAACTATGTCATCACCTCACAAGCAATAGTAGCATCAACCTTCATCAGAACAGGATTATCTCATATATAAAGTAAAGATAAAAAATGTGCAATGACAAGTGGGAGAAATGATTTCTCATAATATTATGTTAAGTGAAGAGTATCATTAAGGGTGGCTAGGGCAAATGCATACACAAGTCTTACAAGATCTTGATAAATCATTAACTACAACATTTCTAACTTGATTTGCTTATACATTTGGCTTTATATGGAGCAAAAAGCTTTAGAAACAATACCAAATTGCATAACTAATTCAGACAACCCCTTGACAAAGATGATACAATTGCTAGAAGGAATCATTATAATTTTCAATATGTTCAAATGCATGCTTGAAGATATCTAGGAGAAAGCTCCAATCCACATGAGTGCATATACTCAAATTATTATATTATTGCAATGCTATCCCTTGGAGATATATGGGAAATTTGCACAGATATCGACATCATCCCAAAGATAATAAGTAGTAATCACCGTAAAGTGATCAAATTAATGGTATATATCATCCTTAGAATTCCACAAAAGAACTCTAGTCAAACACAAGGATTAGCAACAAAAGTAGAATAAATTGCACCACATGCCTTGAATGTTATTATCAACTGAGTTTGATTGTTTCACTATAACCACATAACATTAAGCAATTGCATCTAAAGTCAAAGGAGGAGGAGGCTATTACTCTATCATGAAGTCAAAATAAACCCTAAACAAAAATGAAAAACACATAAAAAAGAAATGGAAAAAGTTACAAAAATAAGAGAGACTTAGATAATGCAAAAATTAAATATAAACTAAAAGTATAAATCTAAGCACTCCTTAAGCACAATTATAATTACATCTACACCAATGTGAGTGCATTGAATTTAGATATATGCATATTCAATTAGGCTAAAAACTCTAGTTTATATATAAGAGCAAGTGGTCCAAAATGAAATCAATATAATAATTACCAAAATTCCACTACACTAATAATGGTAGATATACCGTTAAAGCATAGCTTAAAGTAAGAAACTTACCCACTCACAAAGAAGCTTTTGAAATAGCTTGGTCATGGTTTGAGTGGTGAGGAACCTTAAAGAAGTTATTGTATTTTTTAAAATTTTATATATATATCAGTATTATTAGTCTAGTATATATAAATATCTTTTAGAGTTTGAAGAAGGTACATTTTTTCAAGCATTATTTATCTTGAAAAAAAAAAACTCGGGAGAGTCAGGATGGCTAGACCAAGGAGAAACATGTTGCCTGATTAAAAACTCATTGGACATCGACAAAGCCGTGCACAGCAGGAGCAATACACAGGAGATGGACAAGCAGCGCAAATCCACTATGGCATGCTTCGTACGTGAACATCCACTTATCCACATACGAAGGCAGTAGCTTCTCATCCTATCAAAATAAACCATGCGAAGCTTGCCCGGACTAGTGGCTTACCTCTCGGTTTATGAAACGCGTAGACATGCACGAAGTTGTGACCAGCCACGACACCAAAGGCCAGTTGCCTGCGGGGCTGGGACGAGAACATCTCCCTCACACCAAGAATCATCCTTCCCACTGCCCAGCCATAGTGAATTTCCTCGCTCGAAACTTGCAGCATCCACACCACCTTAGACCAATCCAGGGTGTCGTCACTAACGTCGACAGGAGAAGAACCTTGCACGAAGTAGAAGCTCCCAGTGAAGCAGTTGCTGGAGATCATATGGTTCTCGACAGGTGCTTCCCGGATGATTATGTTGAGCAGGGCACGGAACCCATACATGACTGCCACTTCCTCCTGCTTGAACAGATTGGTGACGAGCGCTTCTTCTTCTGGATCCTCAAAGCCTCCCAACGCCAAGTGCCACCAAGAATCCCAGTTCGCCATCGCAGCCTGCAGCTTTAGCTGCAGCTCAGTGCTAACACCCAGAGAGGTGGAAAAGAGTCCGTCCTCAAATTTTGCATCCTCGATGTTCAAGTCCAAGGCTGCACAATCCAGCCCTGCCTCGCGCACCTCCTTTGGCATACCTGTGCCAGGAATATCATATCATCACAAGGAAAGGCTGGAAGATCATAATATATGATCATATGAACACTAGAACGTTTACTTGGATCGACTACACCCTTGCCCACAAGGCCCTTGGCAATCCATTGTGGCACACCCCAATCAACAAGACGCCCAGTGTAGACCCTTTGATCTCTAAAGTCCGCTGCTTTGCAAATGCCCTTGCTCACCAGCAAATCCGCCACCCTCTCCTTGTCCGAGCTAGGTAGCGATGGAAACACTCTTTCTAAAAGTTGGCGCACCGGTGTGACCTTTGGAATGCGTTTGCGCTGGAGAGCCTCCCACATCTCCCTCGTCGCCATAAGCCAATCGCGCTAGAAATCGTGTTTAGCCAAAAGCTAACCTAGGATTGAACCCAAGACCTCTCCACAGAGTTATATAGTTTGTACGGCCATTTTCTCCGTACCCCATAGTCTTTGTGCAAGGTTTTACAGCGCGCAATGGAGGCGCTCCAAGGCGCAGCGATCGGGAATGCGTTGCCGCTCGGCGATCCTTCACTCTCAGAAATCCAGGTACTGGATCGCCTTAGGTTTCTCTTTGCCCTGTGCTCAGCTTGGATCCGACCGCTAGAAAATGGAGAGCGAGAGGAGATTGTGCGGCATTTGCGACGCCATTGTCGTGGAAAGGGGTTTGCTCGACTGCTGCGACCATATGTGAGTGCCGGTTTCTAAGCTTGCGACTTTAACTCTTCTTCTTCTTCGTCTTCTTCTTCCAGGTTTTGTTTCTCGTGTATCGAGGACTGGGCTACCGTGACGAATCTATGTCCAATGTGCAAGGCACAGTTCAAGTTCTTGACGTTCTTGGCGACTGTAAGTCTTGTTTTTTTTTTTCTTCTTGCTTTTCTCGCCGCAGCTATCTAACTAGAGCTCATGCTTAGAAATGTCAAGAATGACGAAGCGATTCAAGGAAGGAATGAGAATTCTTTCGTTGAAACAAGGTACTGGATCGATCGACCTCGCATACTGTGTGTGCTGCTCCTGATCATCGTGCTGTAGGGTGGCTGAAGAAGCCTTCTCTTATTTTATTGATGAGGAGGTACCTTGTTCTTGGGTTTGGAGTGTTAAGATTGACACGGCTGATTCTTCCAGGCTATCGCGTGCCTTGATGGCGATGACTGCAAGCTCCGCATGCAAGCACTTCAAACAGCGTTCGTGGATACATCCGTGGCTTGTGATAAATGCGATCGCTGGTATGAAAGTCTCTGTTACTACCTAGCTGCTTTAATAATCTCGCTCGTGAAATCTTCAGGTACCATGCTTGCTGTGTTGGCTTTGATCCTGGGAAACCAAACGAGCGAACCTGGCTCTGTCCAAGGTACAATATCTGGGTTTGGACTGGTTGCTGATTGCGTCGCCAGGTGTGCTCTCCCTAACGAAGCCGTGGCTGACGAGCAAAAGGAAACTGTTACGGAGAAAAGTGCTAAACATGAAGAGGTTGCTGCGTCGATGAGCTTCGCTTTCATGGAAACAGGAGAGTCGGCTATTGTGATATCCATGGTTGGCGGGAAGGAAGGCAATGCGCAAGCGGAGCCTAGTAGTTTACCACCTTCGTCATCGCTTCCAGAGCCCCAGGAACACACAAGCCTTGACAAGCTTCTTGAAGATTTGGGCAAGCAAAATGCATCTGTTCATAACGACGAAGAGGGGCAAGAGCTTGAGGAGTTCGAAGAGGAACAAGAGTTTAAGCACGACGAGAAAGACGTAGAAGAGGAGTTTGGAAACTTCGGAGAGGAACAGCAGCTGGAAGATTTCGGTTTTGAAGATGCTGAGGAAGAGCAAGAGCTGGACTTTGTGGAAGAGCAACAACAGGGACAGGAGGTAGAAGATTCTGAACAGAGAGACGAAGAACCTTGTCAAGATTTTCAGGTGGAGCCTCAGGTTTCGATTGACAGAGAAGACGTCGGACAGGAGTTGGCTGGGCCAGCCACGGACTTTGTTCCATCCGAGACTCTTCAAAACGTGACATCAGAAGCCGACGTCGAGATGAAAATCGAAGAACTCGTCAGTGATGATGACTCCGACGTTAAACTCAGGTAAGAACTATTTTTTCATTCACAAACTTTGACACTGAAGGACGTACAGGCATCAGGTTGTCAAAGGTCGCGCTGTAGCGGAGGATTCTTCAGAAAAGCAAAACCAGACAGATGGGAAAGGCGTGAGAACCAGAATTATAATGAGGAGGGATGTAGACGACCAATCTCTTGCTGAAAAAATTCGCCGGCAAGTTGTAGAAGCGGCTGGTGGCGATGGAGCACAAGTATCCAACGAAAATCTATTGGCTGCTTACAAGGCAGCAATCGTCAAACGGGATGGACCAAAGCAGAAAAAGGCGGTCGACACTGCCAGGAAAAACTTGAAGAGAAAGCTATATGGTGGTATACGTGGTCGCCAGGTTTATGATAGGGACTGGGACGTCGCATTTTGGAGGGACAAGGTCCTGGGTGACAAGCGAAGAAAACCGGAACAAGAAGAGGCAGAGAACACCGAGTCTACTCCTCAGCAACCTGATTCGATACTTGACAGGCTCTGCTTTGCCGACTGCTCATTGCTTCCGAAGAAGGAGGGCTTCCGGCCTCCGCCAGTGACCGAAGACAAGCCAAGGCCGAAGCCGACCTTACACCAAGCTTCCAAAACGTTGGAAGTGAAAACTGAGGTGCCGGCCGATGGAAATGCTGAGAAGGACAAGAAACAATGGGCGCTTGAGCTTTTGGCGAGGAAGAACAAGCAGCAAGTCCGGTCCACTCATGATACATTGAAGGGAAACTTCGTGCATCTGGTAAAAAAATCTAAATGAGACTCTTTGATGTTCTAACGTGTGTTCTCTGGCAGCCAAAACTTCCTATCGACATGAGACCATCTATAGAGCCTAATCCTCGAAGCAAAATTCCGAGTGCTGTTAGACAGGTGAGGTCCCCTACTCTTCTTTTCTCTAAAACATTTTCCCGTTATTTTCAGATTCAGCTGAACCGGTTAACGGACCACTACTTGAAGAAGGTCAAGATTGGAAGAAATCAAGCTTCCGAGGATGCAGTGAACGCTGCGCTTTCGAAGGAAGCTGAGATCTTTTTAAGATCGAACAGTAAAGGCGTCTATGTCAATCTCTGTGCAAGGGCTTTGGCTCAAGGAGACGCTCCACCAGCTAAGGCCAACGTCGAGACGAACAAGGATGTTGTTGCTGAAGCCTTGGTGGCGGCCGGTTTGGTTTCAGATTCTCCTCCCGGAAGTCCTCTCCCTCAAGAAGAAGCGGCTGCTCAACCGGCTGCTCAACCGGCTGCTGATGTTATTGAAGCTCCAGAGGCACAAGAACCATCTCGGGGTACCGAGGTTTTAACGAATCCAGGGTCGGGGAAGCAGGGAATAACTGCGTTACTCGAGCATCTCAGGAAAGAAGAGGAACCAGAATTACCGGGACTGGAACCAGTTTGTACTCCTTCAGGTAAACTCTTGGCTCGAAGTTGTGCAATTTACTCAAGCATGATTCGCAGAATCCAAACAAGAACAAGCGGATGTCAAAAGCGAAAGCTTACACGTTCCGGAAGGTGGCTCAAATGCAGCTGACGAAAGTGACTCAAATGCAACGGATGCTACTGTGTCTGCGAAACAGGAAGATACTACAGCTCTGACAAACGAAGAAACAGTCAAAGAAAAGGAGGAGGAGAAACAGAAGCCGTGCAAAGTTGCAGGTAATCGTGTTGAATCGTATGCTTTCTTTAATACCTCGTCAACATTGCAGATAGCGAAAAAGATATTGAGAAGACCGTTGATCACAAGGAAGGTGTCAAGAACCAAGAAAATGCGAAAGTTGAGGCCATAAAACCCGAGCAAGACCCTACAGCCACCAAAGCTCACGTGGACAGGCGCACGGACAGAAGCTCGAGAAAACACCCGAGGGATCCCGCCAGGCCGGACAGGCATGCGGCGAGGAAGAAGGAGAAAGTCGGCCCCGAGGACCCGATGAGCGACGAAAAATTCTCGGAGCTGGACAGCCGCATCGACCGAGTCAGGAACAGCATCGCGCAGCAGTTCGGCGAGAACAGCGACATCGCCCAACAGATACGTGAGAGCTCCGGGAGCCAAGCTCCAAAGCCTCGAAAGCCAACGCCGGATCATCCTCGAAAGCACCAGAGATCGTCTCCATCCGTGCAAGAACAGGTTTTTTCGTGCATTTTTCTTTGGTTTTTCGTGCTTGTGTTTTGATCGTTTGTTGGCGTGATCATCAGGTGGAAATGTATGTCAAGGAACACATAAGACCACTGTACAAGAGTGGTGTGATCATGGCCGAGCAATACCAGTGGACTGTGAGCAAGACTACTGCCAAAGTTATGCAGCATCACAAGGACGCTCCCTCGGCGGAATTTCTCATAAGCGAAGGCGGAAGAGTGAAAAAATTGGCCGAGCAATACTTGCAAAGGTTTGCGCAAGAGAAGAAGGAATCAAAGTAATAAAAAAAGTATCGTCTTTTTGGCCACGTTGAAGATACGTTCCTCGTGACAATATAGACGTGGCAGGATCGACTTGCATAGGTTAGGGTTTATCTTTGTTTGGAGGGGAAGAATCGATCGATCGATAGCGGAGATTTGCGAAGGTAATTTCTTGCATCGCGCTTCGCGATTTGTGAGTGATCGGTGCTCTCTCTCACAGCATGGCGGCGTCTTTGATTGCATGCGTTCCAGTGACGATCCCACGGCAATGTAGCGGATTTGGCAGCAGCTCCTCCTCCCTGGCAGCGTCGCCGCGCAATTGCAGCGTGAGATGTCGCGCTTCCTCGGAGAATGGATCCCACTTCGCCCAATTTCTCAACCTAGATGCTTTCGACAACGCTCTCCAGGTAAGATTTTGGGCTTTGCTGGGATGTTCTTAACTGTTCTTCCGTGGTTTCCAAGGTTTTCCGCGATGAATCGAAGGGAATAGTTTGCTATCGGACCCCGACTGGAGAGATCACTTGCGAAGGCATCGACGAGGGTCCTCACTTCGAGCCTGCTGCCGACAATCAAAAGGGGTAAGGAAGGATCCTTTTTCTTGTCTTCCTTTCGTGTTCTTGGGATAGTTTTCATGGTTTTTCTCTTTGTTTCCGCAGACTTTTCCTTTCGCAGCTACTGTTTGTCAAAGGCGCTGAAGAACCACTCGTGAATGTACGATTTTTCTTGATTTTTTGTTGCTGTGATGAATCGAATCTAACACTTTGGATGATAGGGAGCTGGAATTTAAGTAAAGGACTATAGCGATGATATTGTTTCGTTAAAGTATGACTAAAGGATCACACCAGAGCGTGTTATGTTTCAAAGCAAAGCCTAAATGTGACGGGGGGAACCATGTAAATTCTCATACCCTATCAATCTTTGTTGATATCACTCGATTATTAAATTACTGGAAAGATCCAACGGCCTGGATCGCGACTCGTTTGTGCGGTCCAGATCGTTTAGAACTTTAGCCGGCTTGGCCACGTGAAGGGCAGTCAGTTAGTTACTAGCGCCATCGCTCAAGAACCCTACCGCGCCCTCTCAGCGAAGCTGATGAGGGAATGGCGCCTCATGCCGCCGTGAGGGCGCCAAAGGAGCAATCGATCGGCATCGATCCATTCCGGTAATCAAAATTTGGCATCGCAATGCCGGATCCAAGGAAGCTGCCTTGGTGATCTTCCCCTAGGGTTCTACGCATCGCGGGGGATGAGAATCACGATCTCGGTAAGCAAAATCTGGATTTCTTTTGTTCTTCGTCGATTCTCATCGAAGCCTTCGCTCCAGAGCGAAGAGATGAGGTGTGGAGCGTGAGATTTCGACTTGGCATTTGTTGATAGATCATGGGAAGGTATCAGAGTCCGCTAGTGAAACACGATCTTTCCCGGCTGGAGGACCCCGAGAGCCGGCACATCGCTCTCACGTCGCTCAAGAACTGCGTCAAGCAACTGGAAGCCGAGTGCCTCCCATTCTTCCTCGACCAGATCAGCGAAGCTCATCACGATATCTCTCGCCCCTACGTTATCTCCCTCTACGAGGACATAGCACGGACACACCAAACGCTGCTGGTACCTTACATTCCTCGAATCATGGAGGCACTGATCACTGCTCTCTCTGAAAGTGGCAGCTCGCTCCACGTCCACCGCGCGTGTGCCAAGGTGGTGGCCGCGCTCGCAAAGTTTTGCATCGATCTGGAGAGGTTGACGCATCAGGCCAAGGAGGTTCTACGCTTGCTCTGCGAGCCACTGCTGTGCGTGCTCGTCGGGAAGTTCGAGCCAGTCTCCGCCGGTGCCGCGGTGAGCCTCCAAGCTCTGGTGGAGTTCGAGAACTGGATCCACGCTCCAAAAGAGCTTGTCAACGAGGTGTGCTTCAGGGTGACGGCAGCTATGTCCGGGAAGTCGGCTCCGACGGTGGCTCACTTGCATCTGGCCTGCGCGGTTGCGAAGGTGAACAGGGAAGTCTTCGAGAGCTATGGACTGGAGCTCATGAATGCGGCAAAGTACATACTCCAAACAGCTGGTTCTTGGACTTTGAGAGTGGCCGCCGCAGAGCTCTTGAATCTGGTGCTGAGCATGGTGGACGGGATAGTTTTGTCGACAGAGATAGCATCTGTGATCGACGTTCTAGAGAGGTACCGGCTGGACAGGATGCCAAAGGTGAGGTCTGCGGTGGCCGAAGCGTTAAGGACGGCTAAGTCATGCTACTACAACGGCGGACGAGCGACGACGAAAATGATATTCTCTGTTGGAGTTGAGACAAAAAGGCGGCAAGAACTTCACGACGCGGGGATTCGATCGATACTGCTCCCTTCTTTTCACAACGAGTTTGGGAAGCGGGATGCTGGATTGAGAAGGGCTGTGGCTCCAAAGTTTGATCGCGGGGGTGGCGGCGGTGAGGAGGTTGGAGGATACGACTTTGTGATAGTGGAAGACTACGGGGAACCGTGCCAGCAGTATGGAAGACGGAGCGGGAAGGGAGCTGGAAGACGTTTTGGAAACAGAGCTGGGAAAGTTAAGAGCGAGCCCCGGGTGAGACACACAGTTTCAGCAGAACCAGGAGGATATGTTATACAGGAATGGATCAAGGTCGATGATCATGAACGGTTCCCTCATCCTCATTGTGGAGTGCTGGCTGGCATTGACGAAGGGGAGGAGTACGAGGAGGAGCCGACTTACGTGAGAGAATCCATGTACAACAAGCAGTTCTATTCGCCGTCGAGCGAGAGGCATGTCGTGATCTTTGACGAAGATCAAGTGGTTACGGACACATGCAAGCGTCTGATCGAGGTTTGTGCGTTTTCTTTTGTTTTTGTTTTTTCTTAATCGCATTTGCTTTCCAGAATTCTGAGGCACCGTCAACTTTCACTGGTCTCTCAGCTCCAGAACCCGTGCCGTCCACTTCGGAGCCAGGCAGTATTGAGCATCCAAGTAGCAGTAACTTGATCCAAGATTCTGAGCAGGAAGAATGGAGCGTGCGAGACAATCCTATCGCCGCGAAATCCGACGAAGGTAGAAGTCCCTACGAGAGATCTATCACACCTCCAGCGAGGCTGGACGCTGCTCGTTCTCCAGAGGCACAGGAAGTTATCATAAGCAACGCTGTGGTAGAAGAAATTTTCGAGCCAACACCTTTGCGTTGCGATGAAGAACAAATCCTCCAGCAAGAAGTAGCAGCGTTGGCTGGCATCGGTGACACGCGCAACAAGGAAAACAGGGACTCAGCTGAACTAAACGACTGCAGCTTGAATTCTCCGGAACAGACAGAGCTCAAAAGCGAGAACGTCACCGAAGAAATGGTGGACACATTCCGGCGGTCATGGGAAGTTCTCGAGACGAATGACAAGCATGAAGTTAGCATGGGGGTTGTGGAGGACGACAAGGTGGTGACGAAAGTTTACTCTAGCAGGAAGCAGCAGCTGGTGAATGCTCTCACCGCATCGTTCACAGGCGGACTTTGGCAAGAACACCACCAAAGAGAAGGCTGGCACAGGAAGCTCCAGAGTGGAGTGGAGAGAGTGCTCGGGGGGTCCGTCTGTGCGGCACTGGCGATCCCAGCAGCTATGGCTTTGATCAAGTGCTTGGAACCAAACTTTGGAGGCCGAGAGATGGTGCCAACGTGAAAATGGAAGAGTTCGCTACGATCGAGCTAGAATCGGTCGGACTAAGCTTTTGGAGCGATCGAGAAGAAAAGCGATTTAAGTTTCGCTGTGGCGAAACGCTGGTGCCACTTGATCGAGACGAGGAGGTAATTTTTTAATTTTTTTCTCTTCCATCGCCATCGCCATCGCAATCCTGTGTAAGCTCGCTCAACTAAAAAACCCAGTGAGTGGAATATGCCCTGGCCGCCACGTGGCGTCCTATTATATTCCCCTTGTAAATTAAAAGCAATCACTTGGGACGCAAAAAAGCGGAAGGAGGAGGGTAGTGATCTTTTTGTGGTGATACAGATCTCCTTTGTTAGGGCATAGATCGCCGAGGCTTTAGGGTTTGAGCGGCAAGGGCGAGGGAGATGAAGATTTCCGTCAAGACGCTCAAGGGCAACCACTTCGATCTCGATGTGCAGCCGGCGGACACGGTAAGCGCGCTCGCGAATTCGCTGCTCTGCCCGGCGCTTTCTCGCTTTTCGCCCCCTCGCGCAGCTGGGGTTCTTGGATTGCTCGAAACTTAGGGTTTTTGGCACAGGTGATTGCCGTGAAGAAACAGATTGAGGACCTCCAAGGCAAAGAGAGCTTCCCGTGCGCGCAACAGCTCCTGATTCACCAGGGCAAGGTTCTCAAGGATGAGACCACCATGGACGAGAACAAAGTCTCGGAGAACGGTTTCCTGGTAGTTATGCTCACCAAGGTATGTGCTGCGTGGTTTGTTGCTGTGATGGAGCTGTATCTAACGTTTTGTTTGGTTTCCTCAGAGTAAAACCGCTGCCCCTACCTCGTCTGGTGCCACTCCAAGTAGCACTCCGCAAGCTGCTCCAGCGACCGTGACGACCACGCCATCTCCGGCACCCCCGGCTCCAGCTCCGAGTCCCGCAGCTCCGGCATCGCCCGCTGCTCCAGCTCCAGTTCCAGCTCCAGCTCCAGCCCCAGCACCAGCTCCAGCTCCGGCTCCGGCTGTTACGCAGTAAGTAAATTCTCTTTGCTTCATCTCTTCTGGTGCTCACTGTCACTGGTTTTTCTTCGCAGGCCTCCAGCAGCAACTAGCGATGTCTATGGACAGGCTGCCTCGAATCTCGTTGCCGGCACCGGGCTCGAGCAAACTATCCAACAGCTGGTAGACATGGGTGGTGGAAGCTGGGACAGGGATAGCTGCGTCCGCGCTCTTCGTGCTGCTTACAACAATCCCGAGAGAGCTGTGGAGTACTTGTACTCGGTAAGCTGCCTGGGATTTGAGTAGCTTACTTTGTTCTCTCGCTATAGGGGATTCCAGACGTGGCTGATGCTCCTCCCGTTGCACGGGCCCCTCCTGCTGCTCCTGCTGCTGCCACTGCTCCCCCGACGGCAGCACCGACCGGTGGAGTGCCTGCTCCTGCGGCGACTGGTGGTCCTAACGCAGTTCCGTTGGATCTCTTTCCACAAGTACGTACTCGTTTGGTACTTTTGACATTTTCTTATTCTTTCCAACACCCTAGGGGATGCCTGGGCTAGCTCCGGCGGGTGGAGGCGGAAATGGGGCACTGGATTTTCTACGGAACAATGCACAGGTGAAGACGATGAGTTTTTTGGACTGTTATGAAGTTCCCTTTGTGTGCAGTTCCAAGCTTTGAGAACCATGGTGCAACAAAATCCCCAGCTGTTGCAGGTAAATTCTCGTGCCTCCCATGCCCGCTCTAACGGTGAGCTGTGCAGCCCATGCTCCAAGAACTGGGCAGACAAAACCCCCAGCTACTGCGCCTCATCAATGAAAACCACGTTGAGTTTCTTCGCCTGATAAGCGAAGCTGGGGGAGAGAACCCCGAAGCTGGGTACGTTTATCTTTTCGCCATGGATTGCTTTGCTTCAACTTTGTGGTGTGGTGAATCCAGTGACTTGCTTGGACAACTAGCGGGAGCCATGCCGCAGTCGATCAGCGTCACGCCGGAAGAGAGAGAAGCGATTGAAAGGGTACGGAAGAAAACGCTTCGTGACTTTGGCGATGTAATGACTGTGGCTTTTGCTCGTTCTTCTTCCGTGCAGTTAGAAGCGATGGGCTTTGATCGGGCGTCTGTAATTGAAGCGTTCTTGGCTTGCGACAAAAACGAGCAATTGGCCGCCAACTATCTACTGGAGCATTCAGGGGACTATGAGGATTAGAAGTGAAACAAATTCTTTGCTGTGCATGAACGAAGGACGGTTTATTGAAAAAGGAATGTGCGTTTTTATGGAGAGAAGCATAACTAAGTTGGGTTTTTCTTTTTCTTTTGCTGCATCTAATATGTTAATACTGCAAAGCGATAATCTTTGATCTCGACAATTTTTAGCATTCTTTTTAGCATGGATTATCTTAGATCTTAAACTTCTAACCCGGTGTATCTTAGACCTCCAGCAAAGTTTTTCTAGCATGATCCGGGATTATCGAGCAAAGGTTTTCTAGCATGAATTATCTTCCTGAGACAGTTCTCCAAACATGTCTAGCGTGGATTATCGAGCAAACAAAATCCAAAAGTTTCTAGCATGGATTATCTTAGATGTCGAGCAAAGTTCTCTCTAGCATGGAAGAGCCTTAGGTGGTGGAAGAAAGGATGTCTGCGCGACCTCCCACCATTCTCTCGGCTTGGAGTCCGCGCTCGCCGGTTCTAACACGGATCACATCCGCGACTGGGATCACTGCAAGCACACGCGGTTCTTGTTGGATTCCAAGTCCAGAGGTTCTCGTCTTGCTTACCAAAAATCTTGCCGTCCCCGATCTCTCCAGTTCTCGCTTCTTCCAGAACCGTGTCGATCACAAGCTCCACCTGGATTTCCATGCAGAGATGAAACAAAAGTTTGTAAAGCAGCGAAGAAACCGACCTGATCCGCCGACACCACAATCTCCATTTTGATCTTTGTCACGAACTTGTCTTCCGAGAACTCGGAGCCTGTCAAGCCTCTCACGAGTTACAATCCTGGAAGCTTTTGTTCTTCAGAGGGAAAAGGGAAAGAAAACGCACCGGCATGTCGTTCGAGAGCTCCACCTTGAGCGCCTAAACCACGAACATCGCTCACAGTTACTCCCCGAATTCCAGCTCTCAGCAATGCCTGATTGAAAGATCACAAAGCTTGAATAAAAAAAAACTTGCATCCCTGAGAGTTCTTACCCCTGATACTTGGGATAGTCTCCACGGTCTAGAAAAAAAAAGAGACAAGCAAAGAAATTCAAACCAAACGCACGAATGCCATACCTTACAATAGCCTCTACCTTGTAAAAGTCGGCTCTAGGGCGATACTCTGCGAGAGAGAGGAAGAGAAAAGATTTCGAGCTCTAGACTGATCCAGAGCAGCAAATCGAAGAAGAATCTCCAGTCTTACCAGGTGTGCCATCGCTACTCATGGCTCGAACACCTACATTTGATCGTCGGATCCACAGCTCAGCCCCAGACGAAGAGGATCGCAACGCCAAGCGCGATCGCGGCGATGCTAAACGGGAGTGACATAGCTGCTGGCGATGCAAGGGATGGATCGAGGGGGCGCAAGCAACAGCGGCCACTTCCATTCCTCGTCAAGGGCGAAAAGGCTTCGAACCAGGGACCTTTTGGTAATCTCTTAGAATATTCTACGTACAGCTAGGGCAGCTTATAAAGGGAGACCTCTTAGCGAAGGTTTAGGGTTTATCGATTGGTATGGGGCGACGCTACATCACCGAAGGGGCGACGAGAGCGAGCTCGCACTGCGATAGCGGCGAGCGACGAATAATGAAGAGGAGCAGGGATTCAAGCGTGGATGATAAGAAAGCCCTAAGAAAGGTACCTAGAGATCACTGCTCTTTGTCTTAGTTCTTTTCCTTCCGGGTATTCAATCTGTGCTTTCAGGTAGCTAAGAAGATGAAAGCAGTCTCGGGCTACAGCAATCCCTTCGACTTGACTGAATTGTGAGTAGTTTCTTCTGCGTTCTTGGCAAGGTTTCTAGGTAGAGCTAATCCTTGTTTTCCAGGTTTGTGTGGAGGAAGAAGATCAAACGCGACTTTGCGAAGAAAACACTGAAGGTGGAAGTTGAGAGGCAGGAGGAGCGAATGGTAAGTTAGGGTTTCCTTTTCCATCGTTTCTTTTGTTGCTCGGTTTTGCTCATGTTCTTGTGTTTTCAGAAGGAAGCCGAGATGGAAACCGAGAAATGGGAAGAACGAGCTATGGAGAAAGAAGAGGAAGAGAAAGCAAGGGAGCGAGAGAACGACCGGGAAGACGAGGTATGATATACATGTGTTTTTGAGTATCCTTTGGCAAACTCTAACGCGTGAACGCAATGCAGTGTCTCTACATGAGAGTCACGACGACTGATCTTCTATCCAGGCTCGTCGGCCTGAGGATGGCCGAGCCTTCCCACATCTTCAAGGGCCTTGGCGTGAAAGCAATGGAGGAGCTACTTGGCAAATTTCGCTTGCATTTGGAGGCGAACAAGAAAAATACCGAGCTCTGGGAGGCCATGACGGTTGTCTGCGACTCAGAGCTAGCAGAAGCACGAAAGATAGAGGCTGGAGCTCGCGGTGGAGTGGACCATTTGGTGCTTGACAATGCTGGACTCCATACTAGCAATGTGAACACTTCCCTCATAAACATGAGCTCTCGTCAACTCCAGGAAGAGCAAGAAAATATTGAAGAAAAACTAAGATCTGGATCAGCCAAGAACGTCGAGTTCTGGAAGAGAGTGCGCGTCTTCAAAGCCAAGGTAAGCAAAAACGTCTTGTGCTTTGCTTCACGATTTAAGTTCTGACATAGTGCAAACTTACAGGCACGGCTCCGAGAAATAGCCATGGATCTTCTAGCGCAGCAGCACCACGAGATTTCAGGCGAGAAGGTTATAGAGGAAGCGATGCCTGAGCCGATTCCTCGTCAAGCGGTTCGAGGAGTGTCTGGCGCCAGCAGAGGGAAACACTAGAGCATTCAATCGATTGAAACGGCTCAAGCAAGAGAATCAATTTTTCTATATGTAAAATGATTTTAGTCAAATTGGCCGTGAGATTTTGCAGTTTACTGCCTCTTTTTTATGCAAAATTGGACATTTGTTTCTTCTTGCATTGTTTTCTATCGCTGGAAGACGAGACTTTCACGCAATTGACACCAGAAGAGTGCTGAAGAAACGAAGTCTTAGCTAGAGCACAAAAAAATAAATAGAAAGATGTACAAGCTTATGTAGAGATAAAGTGCCTCACAACAAAAGCTTGAAGAGAGATCTTCGTAGAAAGGGATGTAATCGAACATCGGTGGCCATCGCAAACGCCTCTTGTTCCTCTGGACGGAAAGCTGGATCATCAGGAACCTACTTGGGTAGAAGTCCAAGCATTTCTAAAGGGATGACGGCGTCCTCTTGCTCCTCGTCAAGGCCGTCGTTCTCATCAGGACAGGAATTCAAAGCCGGACGTCTAAAACTTGGAATTTCTCGAGGTTGAGCTCGTGGTGTTTATCCGTCCTGATCATGAATGCCTGAGCAACAAAAAATTGAGGCACGAACAAGTAAAATTCAAAGCTTGCTAGGTTCTTGGATGCTGGGAAAGCTCATGAAAAACTCCACGATGCACATGGACTCTTGGCCAACTTTGAAAAAACTTAAAACACTTTAACTGTGGCATTAAAGAAAAGGAGATTTTTGTTTATTGATAAAAATATTTTACTTACAACCTTTTGGCAACCTCCTATAAAAATGAGGTAGCACAGAGTTAGGGTTTATCGATTGATATGGGAGGTTGCGTTGATCTTGACGAGCGACGTAGAAGGAAGAGAGGCAGGGTGAGTCAATACACCGAGGAGGAGATTCACCATTATCTTGTGAAGAAAGCCCAAAGAAAGGTACCTAGAGATCACTGGTTTTTGTTTTAGTCCGTTACTAAATCCTGTGTTTTCAGGCAGCCAAGGTAGCTAAGAAGCTGAAACCACAGTTGGTCTCGGGCTATTCAGACGACAGCAATCCTTTCGGAGACTCCAACTTGACTGAGAAGTGAGTAGTTTCTTTTGCGGTTTTGGCGAGGTTTCTAGAGCTAATCCTCGGTTTCTAGGTTTGTGTGGCGGAAGAAGATCGAACGCGACATTGCGAGTAAGACTCTGAACTTGAAAGATATCTCCGTGAAAGCTGAAAGGGTGCGCCAGGAGGAACAGATGGTAAGTTAGAATCTCTTCTTTAGATCGTTTGTTTGTTGCTCGGTTTTGCTCATGTTCTTGTGTTTCCAGAAGGAAATCGAGAAGGTTAAGAAGAAACGGGAAGAGAGAGCCATGGAGAAAGCAAAGAACGAGGAAGAGAAAGCCATGCTAGCAAGAGAAAGAGCAAGGGCAGAGTTCCAAGACTGGGAGAAAAAGGAAGAAGAGGTATGATATAGATGTCCTTTTGCGTATCCTTTTGCAAGTTCTAATTACGCGTCAATGCACTGCAGTTTCTTTTCCACCAACGGCAAGTCCGTGCCGAGATACGCATCAAGGAGGGCCGAGCCACGAAGATTGATCTTCTATCCAAGCTCGACGACTTGAGGATGGCCGAGCCTTACCACATCTTCAAGGGCCTTAGCGTGAAAGAAATGGAGAAGCTACATGAAGAACTTCGCTTGCATTTGGAGCTGGACAGGAAAAATACCGAGTTCTGGGAGGCCATGACGGTTGTCTGCGACTCAGAGCTAGCAGAAAGACGAAAGAGAGAAGCTGGAGCTTGCGGTGGAGAGGATAATTTGGTGCTCGACGATGCTGGACTCCATACCAGCATTGATCTAGACGTAAACACTCTCCTCCAAAACATGACCTCGAGTCAACTCCAGGAAGAGCAAGCAAAGATAGAAGAAAAATTAAGATCTGGATCAGCCAAGATCGTCGAGTTCTGGGAGTCCGTCCTAAAGAGAGTGCACGTCTTCAAAGCCAAGGTAAGCCATCTTGTGCTTTGTTTCGCGATTTAAGTTCTGACATATCGATGCAAACGTGCAGGCACGGCTCCGAGAAATAGCCATGGATCTAGCGCAGCAGCACCACGAGATTTCAAGCGAGAAAGTAGAGGAAGCGATGGCTCCTCGCTCTCCTGAGCCGATTCCTCGTCAAGCGGTTCGAGGAGATGGGATTCCAGAGTTTGAGAGAGCAGAGCTGGGAAAGGTAGAAGACGGCCATGCTGAGTTTGGCTCCGGGGCGGAAGTCAGTGTGGAATCTGATCACGTAAACCTGTGGCGTGACAAGTACAGCCCACGAAAGCCTAAGTACTTGAACAGGGTCCATACGGGATACGAGTGGAACAAGTACAATCAAACGCACTACGATCACGATTCTCCGCCACCAAAAACTGTCCAGGGATACAAGTTCAACATCTTCTACCCCGATTTGATCGACTGCACGAAGGCACCAACGTTTGCCATCGAGAGAGACGGGATCAGTGGCGATACTGCCATCATCAGATTCACTGCGGGTGCTCCATACGAAGATATTGTAAGTGTTTGATGTTTTCTCTTCGTTGTGCTCTTTGTTTTCCATTCTAACTTGTGTGCTACAGGCGTTTCGCATCGTCAACAAGGAGTGGGAGCGCTCCCCCAAGAACGGATTCAAGTGTACATTTGAGCGAGGTATCCTCTGCGTTTACTTCAATTTCAAGCGATATCGCTACAGGAGATGATGGAAGGCTGATTTTGTAAAAAGTGTCCAGCGCTATCAAATTTGTGTAACGAAACCAATCTATGAAGTCCTATCCTCCCTGTATGATCCTTGTCAAGTCCCTTTTTGGACTTTACATTGACTGGCATTGTCTTTACATGAGCTCAATGAAGCATAGCTTAGACCATCACGGCTAAAACGAATCAATCCTCGAAGTATGATCCCTGTTGGCTCCACTCCGGCGACGAATCCGACCAGCAGCGAGGAGCGTAACCCCAGTTGGAGTAAATCCATCTCTCCGCCAGCCTCAGGACCCCGCTCGAATCCAGCACCCGGTTCCAAATCCCCGACACGATGCAGTAGTTCCCATCGAAAGGCTCCCGGTGGTGCTTGCCGTGCATTCTCGTCGACACGAGCACCCCAAGATCCTGGAGCGCCCTCACAGCTCCTGGAAGTTGGCTGCGCCGGGTGTGAGCCCACGAGTGGAACTGCTGGCTGAAGACCACGCATCCCAGGAAAACTCCCAGGAACGCATCCACGGGGCCACTGCCGGGAGTCGCCACCAAAACCGGGACGAGAAAGATCGTTGCCGGACGAGCCAGCGAGTGGATGTTGTTGGAGAAGTCGCGCTTGGTGATCGTCCAGGGACGCTTGTGGTGCCCCTGGAACGCGTCGATCTGGGGGCCGAAGAGTGGAGTCTTGTCGTCGCCGTAGTTGTCGATCCCCCAGTGGTAGATGCCGGTGGCCAAGTCGGCTAGAACGTAGGCGGACAGGATGGCGAGTGCCGAGAGACCTGCGTCGGAGCTTGTCTCGATGCCAGCCGCGGACTTTGCTAGCATTCCCAGCAGCGAGGAGCATCCGGCAAACACCCATAGCCTGTGCTCCATCGTCGAGCTCAAACTAGTATCACTGCTTCCCATGTCTTTGATCCTCGCAGCATTCTCCTTGTCCCAGGAAATGGTCTCGTCGCGGAGAACTTGGAGCACTGGAGGAGGAGCATCTCCCAACGCTTCTTCACGAGCTTGTGGAACTCTGGATGATCCCTGGAGCCTCGCAAGTTCTTCACGTGTGACTTTGAGTGATCCCTCAGTGTCGGTGTCCTTGACACAGATCTGGCAAGTCACCGCCTGCTGCCTGTAAAATCCCGATCGTCCCAAAGAGTAGTACCTTGTTGCAAGCTTTCCAGAGTAAGATGTGCTTCTCCATCCAGTGAGAACTTCCATATCTCTTGCACTGCGTCCCAAAGTTCTCTGGTTCTTCGCAGCTCTCCCTTTTGTATCGTCATACTTGTGTATCAAATTCGTCATCGCAGTGGCGCTTTTTCCACCTCAAAAGCTCATGGCCGACGGTGGCGCTCGCTCCACGCTAGAATGTTCGCATACTCTTTATCCCCGGATATCCTCGCTGGCTTTGGACCACGTATTAGTCGCGGAGTTTAGCTGTAAAAACCGGGAAGCTTTCCTCCTCGGACCTGGAAACTTTGGCCGTTTTAGAAGCATAATTCGCTGGCTTCGACCGTGCCTTCTCGCATCGTCCCTGCGGAGCTTGCGGGTTCCTGTTTTCTTTCATCTGGCCCTTGCGGATACCGGTGGTCGCGTCCATTTTTACTTGCCTGTTCTTCTCGCCAAGAACAGGCCTGCTCGCAGTAGCTTGTTTCTTCGATGGAGCATTCCTGTCTGGAGCCTTGGTGGATCTTAAGCTTTTCGCCCAGTCGAAAGTTTTCCCCCAGAAGCGTGGTGACAGTCGCAAAGTTTTTAGTTGCTCTTCCAGGCGCACAGGTTTTTCCGCTCCTATGAATTGCGTTTTAGTCACACCTTCCTTTTGTCTCGACTTAGTTGGGACTTTCTTCTCATCGCCACGGCGAGTATTGTCACTCGACTTCACGAGCTTTTTCTCCCTCGGGACGTTGTCTCTGGATTTTTCCGGATTGGAGCGTGCCAATCGCGTCCCTCCTACGTTCTCCTTTTGCAAGATCCTGACTCGTTGCTGAAAGTTCTTTTCGTTGGATGGCTTCTTACGGGAGACATTCTCTGCTGCAAAGCTTTTCTTCGACAAAGGGTCGCTTAGTGCCATCTTTTTCTCTTCACGCTCGCATTGTAAGTCGGCCAGCTTCTTTGACAACGCCGCGATCCCACTTTGCAGCTCTTCCTCGAGCCTACGATCGTTCTCATCTTCCAGCTCCGCCTGGACGATCGTTTCTAGCAGCTCTCCTTCAATGTTACGATCCGGACCATGAATCCAGCATTCATCGAGACTTCTTTCCACACCACGTTGCAATGTAGCTGGCGTGGCCAAAGAACAAGCCTCTCTAAAAGCTGGATCATCGCTGAGAACTTTCCTCGTGGAAGTTAAGAACCCAAAAGACGCAGCACCGATCACGCCAACATTGACAGCGAACTTCCCAGTGGACGAGAAATTCTTCGCTGCGGAGCTCCATGATCCCTTCAATCCAGGCCGCCGCTCGCTGGAGCTAGAGCTACTGCCAATGGTCTCGGACCGATAGGCCGCATTGCTCCAAACCACAGCACACTCGCTGTGGAGGGCCGTGGTGGAAGAAGAATCATCAGGGCGCTGAGAAGCCGACGAAGAGGGATCGCCTGCCAGGCCAAGGCACCACTAAGTCTTTCCGCTCGCTCAATCGAAGATTACCTGAGGGAAAGTCCTTGCACTGCAATGGCGGCGATCTGGCCGCCCTGCGATTGCAAGAGAGCTTGGATTCGACCGCTCGCTTCTTCGTCTCCCTCGCCCGCCCGGTGCTCCACATTTGCTACGCTGCCTAGAACCCTAACGAGATTTTAGCCGATCAAATAAACCCTTCGTTTGCTCCGTTTGCTAGTTAAACGACATACTCTGTCATTTTCTCCATGTAAATATATACGTGTCCACTCAGCGTCCACATGAATCTCTTGCCACCTTGGATTAGACTCCAGGCTGGCTATCTACATCCCATGGCCCCTCATGTTCGACTTCGTCCCTGGGTACAAAGATCTCCGAATGACAGCTCCGGATTTGTTCGAGATTAAAGAGGTTTCAACTTGAAGAAGTGAAACGTATTTCTCTTCTATTTCTCGCTTGATTCCTCAGCTTTCATTGTTGTAGCACTTCTTATAAACATCAATTCGAAGGCCCAGCAGAGCGGCAGAGAGGGCGGCTACGGGGAGAGCGGCCGAACGAAAGGGGGTGGACACCCCTCTAGGTTTTTGTAGGGTTTCGCGCTAAGCGATCGATCCGGTTGGCCAGCAAAAGGTCAGATACTTCTGGTTTCTGTGACGATCAAATTTGTTATCATATGCAGGATATAGCCCGAATGGCCAAGGACCTCTTACAGCTCGCTCAGCCACTGCTTGATGTCCAGCCAGGATCATGCAGTGAAAAGTTTGGCGGTGATTCAAAGAGAATCAGGAAGGACGTCGCCATGTTTTTGCTCAAGAGGATGGCTTTCCAGATGGAGGTGTCGGGGAATGCCTTCTCTAGCAGGGACGATCCGGCGTGGACAGAGTTGGGATACAGGCCGATAGTCAGTCACTTCCTCGGGGCATTCACGTCTCTGGCTCTAAAGTTTGGGGAGCGCCTCGAAGAAGAAGAGGAAGAGGAAGAGCGCTACAATGATCCGTGTGTTGATTCGTTCCAGGATGACAAGAGTGTCGGAGAGTTTGCGAAGTGGTTATCGCTGGAGCTGGCTGACCGGGCTGAAGAGCAAGGGAAGGACGAGGAAGAAGAAGAAGTTCGCGATGATGTCCATAGAGAAAACGAAGTAGAAGACGAGGAAGAAAAGGATGGCGAGGGTGATAAAGACGATGAAGAAGATGAAGATGGTGAAGCTCACAGTGGCCGTGACTTGTCCAAGTTCTTTCCTCTCGATGAGCAAGCCAAGAGTTTCACGAACGAAGCAGTCCTCCTCCGGATGTATGGACGTGACCACGCCATCAACCAGCACATCACTCTGGGAGTTTTGGGTGGAAGAGGCGCGGATGAATGGCCGGACGATGCCTTCGAGATGTTCTACTACGGGTGCGCCGCCGCGATGCGCAACATACGAGCAGGAAGGATGGACAAGATCCCGTGCATTGCCGTTGGACTCAAATGGTGGGCTTCGGGAGAGATCGATCCGGTGGGCTTCGTCCGGGTCACCGCCAAGAACAAGATCACGAGCTCAAGCGCCGCAGCGTTCAAGTCCCACGTCGAACAGAAGTGTGAGTGGCTGGAGCTGCGAGGCCAAGGCCGCAGAGCCCGCAAGCTTAGGCGAAAGTATCTCCAAAAGAGCGATGAAGAGCTTATCGCTGCTCTCGAGGCGCGAGTTCGCGCAAGAACAGCCGAGGCCTCCATGAATCTCGACGAGAAATCTTTCCAAGAGGTGGAGCATCGCTACAAGTCCAGTGCATTCGCAGCCAAGCCATGCAATCTCCTCGTGGGAGAGGCCACATATCCGCCCCAATCCTCCACGATGCTGCGGTTTCCACTGGATAGAAACGCAAGGTCTGGCGATGGTGACAAAGACCTGGTGTCGGGGATGGCAAGGACGCTCTTTGGAGACCGTGTTCTTCGCTGGAGCTTGAGAAGCGTGGGGAAGCTTTCGCGGGATCGCGATCAAGCCACAAGGATCTTTGCGAGCTCTCTTGTAGCATCCTAAAGAACTTCTTCCATCACTTTCTTCGTTTCAAGAGCTCATCTTCTTCCAATCTAAAATACTCGGGCATTTTTCCAGATGCCCGCACTGGTCATTTTCTTGAAGCGTTTTCGTACGAATATAGACGACGGCGGGAAAAAACATAAATTCGTGTTCTTGTGGGAAGTTAATTCAAGTGTTTGCGCTGACGAGAAGACGAGAAGCTCAATCCCAGTGATTCCAGAGTGCTCGAGCGATACAAGACCACGCAGCGAGCAACACACGACTCTAGATTGCGTGACCGCTCGACTGCAGCAGAAGAAGAGGAAGGGAAAAATCTGTGCTGTAGAAAAATTCACTCAAGATCAGGGTTGGAGCGTGCTGGAAATTGTAGAAGAAATGACCACAACTAATCCCTCTCTTTACAGGCACGGATTTTAAGAATTGGGCGAAAGAGATTTTGTTCCTCTTTCTCCGGGATAACTGTCTCCGAGTTGTCCAGGGGACAGAGCTTAAGCCAGCGGCAAGCGACAAAGATGAATGGCAGGTCAGAAATGATAAGGCAGTCTCCACCATAGGGATTGGCTTGAGCAAATTGCACCACCACCACCTGGATATCACGAAGACTGCAGAAGAGAATTGGACAGCCTTGAAGAATGTATTCAGGAACCAAGCCAACCCAGAGATTTCAAAGGTTGAGTTAAAGTTTAAACTTTTTGGCTTAAAAATGGCAGCAGACGAGACTCTAGCAGCTTTTCTAGGAAGACTGAAGTCAGTGCTCTCCCAGCTGTCAAGTGTTGCTCACACCAGCCTTGAAACTGCTAACGCTGCCAGAGAATTCTTTGTTTGCTTTGAGTTGACAAACAAAGCTGTGGTTGTGGTTGTATCTGTGGGTGTTTGGTCTTCAGCTGGTTCTTCTTCATTGATAAAAGCTATTTGCATTTCAATGAAGGTTTTTGTTGAGTTCTTGAGCATAATCTTCAATGATTTGAATTCTGGGCGAACCAAAACATTGAGGAGAATTACTTGCTTATCATTCTTGGTGACTACTTCACCTAGATTTGACAGCTGGGGGAGCACCAACTTCAGCCTTCCTAGAAAAGCTGTTGGAGTCTCGTCTGCTGCCATTTTTAAGCCAAAAAGTTTAGACTTCAACTCAACCTTTGAAATCTCTGGGCTGGCTTGGTTCCTGGATACATTCTTCAAAGCTGTCCAGTTCTCTTCTGCGGTCTTCATGATATCTAAGTGATGGTGCTGCAATTTGCCCAAGCCAATCCCCATGGTGGAGACTGCCTTATCATTTCTGACCTGCCATTCTTCTTTATCGCTTGCCGCTGACTTAAGCTCTGTCCGCTGGACAACTCGGAGACAGTTATCCCGGAGAAAGAGGAACAAAATCTCTTTCGCCCAATTCTTAAAATCCATGCCTGTAAAGAGAGGGATTAGTTGTGGTCATTTCTTCTACAATTTCCAGCACGCTCCAACCCTGATCTTGAATGAATTTTTCTACAGCACAGATTTTTCCCTTCCTCTTCTTCTGCTGCAGTGAAGCGGTCACGTGATCTAGAGTTGTGTAGCCTTGCTGCTCGCTGCGTGGTCTTGTTTGCCCATGAGATCATCGTTTGCTCAGAGACCATGTTAGTTTTCTAGTTAAACGACATACTCTGTTTCCCCTAACTACCACTTTGTCATTTTCTCCATGTAAATATATACAAATCTTGTGTCCACTCATTTCAGCGTCCACGTGAATCTCTTGTGGATTGACTCCAGGCTAGCTATCTACATCCCATGGCCCCTCATGTTTGACTTCGTCTTAGACAGCACAAGACCTGGATCCATTGGCGTCTCCACAGGCTTGCAATCTTGCATGTTGAACTTGTCTGTCACTTTCTTTCCCGGATGATACGAGTTAACAGCAACGCGCTCGGATGGCAAGAAATGTCAAGAGTCACGGTGTTACAAGTTCGAGCATTTCTAAAGGGATGATAAAATGCAAAACTGGAATACCTGGGACAGTCAAGCGAAAGTCCGCGTTGGGTGCCGCTGCCAGAAAAACTTTTGTTGCCTCCTTGACAGCTTCTTCTCTCTCATCGTCAGACTCGTCGTTCTCATCAGGGCTGAGATTCAGCAGGGGGACATCCAAAACTTCAAGCTTCTCAAGGTTGAGCTTCTTGTATTCGTTGCTCCTGAATACCTGGTCACCAACAAACAGATCCATCCAGTGAGGCATGAGCAATCAAGGAAAGTGTAAAGCCTATGCACAACATGTTTAGGTTCGTCCTCAGCTCTTGGATGCACTTGAAAAATTCCACGATGCATAATGACTTTTGGCTTTTGTCTCCTGAAAAGCTTGGAAAAAGTTTTAGACACTCCAATTGTGGCATTTTCCCAAGAAAAGACTATGATATGACTCCAACTTTCCAACAGTAAAACAATCGCCCCCTACTTCAAGAATGCATAAGATACTAAATGGAGAAACTAACTCTAAGGATCTGATGTGCAACCTCTCAAGGATCTTACCTTCTGTAACCAGTCATCCACTCACATTTGTCAGTGCCACCATTTTGAGCTTAGGAGTGTCAACAGTGATGACACCTGTGCAATCCTGGAGCTCCAAGTAGTACACGTTGGGGTTGTGTAACTTGAGGTTTGTCAGCGCCACCATTTTGAGCTTGGGAGTGTCAACAGTGACGACGCTTGTGCAATAATAGAGCTCCAAGTAGTACACATTGGGGTTGTGTAACTCGAGGTTGACATCCACCAGATGCAACCTCAGGTACCCCAAAAGCGTTGCCATGTCACAAACTCCTCCAGATCTTTCTTGGCACTCTCACTATCAATTCGAAAGCCTAGAGTGCATTGCGTGAGCATTGTGAGCGTGGGAGGACTTTGCATTGGAGCTCTCTGCTTGAGCCGACTGTGAGCTGCCCAAGGTGAGTAGCGGCCGAGAGGAATGAGAGATCTAGTTCTTTGTCTGGAAGCTTGAGTCACAAGAGCAACACCTTGAGCCTCAACGTGAAGAGATGGCTGCTGTTGTGCACTACTGCCTCCCAGACCATTGGATTGGAGCGATTAAGAAAAAGCTGTTCCATACTGTGGATAAAAATTGAGGAGATGGCAAAGCGCTTGCTAGAAGCACGTACACTGGCACTTCCCCAGGTGGAGCTGACATGGCACATACGATGGCTGTTCAAAGAAAGATCTATCCATGAAGGCTTTCCTCCACAGCTTGCAAACCAGAAGAATTGCCATGAGTGAATACATATTCTGTAGCTTCTTGAAAATCTGCAAAAGGAGCTCTAGAGGAAAACGCTCAATTGCACTAGAAGCTGGAGCCAAACGCTCGATCTCACTGCAAGATGGTGCCATTGGAAGACGCTTAATCCCACTGGAAGAGGAAGCCATTGGAAGACGCTCAGGATTCGCGCTGGAAGATGAAACCATCAGAAGAACCCGAGAATGCAGCGAAATAAGAAAAGAGGAAGACGCTCGACGGAAGCGGAGCGGAAGATGAAGAACCCTAAAATGGAACGAAATATTGAGACGTTAGAGGGTTTCCATGCGAGCGGCCACAACCTGGGTGGAAAAGCTGGAAGATCACTATGATCTGAGCTCTTATCGTCTTGTCTCGCTCGCGTCGATCCTCAGAGGTTGCGAAGAAAAACTCAAATCGGAAGAATGCGAGTGTCGTGGGAAGAAAAGTCCTCTATCTGCAAGCGCTTAATGATCGATCGTCCTTGGAGCCTCTCGGCGGAGAAGGTATTCCCATTCCCGCCGCAGGCCATTGTGTGGGTGTATTCTCTTTACCAGTGCATCCAGGCGCACGCAGCATGGATTCAGAGCAAATCCAAGCAAACTGCCTGTTTTTATTCCTCTCCTCCAGGAGGAAGCATTCCCGGCGAACACTGCCAATGCCACAACAAAGAAGAATCCTATGGTGAAGAAGATGAAGATGGTGAAGCTCATAGTGGCCGTGACTTGTCCGAGTTCTTTCTTCTCGACGAGCAACCCAAGAGTTTCACGAACGAGGCAGTCCTCCTCCGGAGCAGATCACGCATCAGCGTTCAAGTCCCATGTCGAAAAGAAGTGTGGCTGGAGCTGCATGGCCAAGGTCGCAGAGCCCGCAAGCTTCGGCGAGATCTCGATGGAGCGCTCATCTTGGATGGCAAGGACGCTCTTTGGAGACCGTGTTCTTCGAGAAGCGTGGGGAAGCTCTCGCGTGATCTCTTTGTGGGCTCTCTTGTATATTCGTTTCAAGAACGCATTTAGCCAGGGGCATTTGCTTAAAGCGTTTTCGTAGGTAAAACCATAAATTCGTGTAAGATCGAGAATCCAGCAGCTGTACTGCGTTGATCTCTTCCACAGAGATGGGAGCGAAACACCTTGAAGAGCAAATAAAAGGGTCGAGAAACTATATGAAGTGTTTTAGCTGGAGCGTGTTTCTGTGTGGAATGTAAGGAAAAGGTGGAAGATCACTAAACAAAGAGGTTGATATGAATTTCTCGTATCATCTAACTGGCTCAATGTGAAGCTCCATTAGAGCTTGCGAAGAAAAACTAAAGTCTAGAAGACGTGCTCTTCAAAGTGACTATATAAAGCTTAAGGGGAGCTGCACACAGTTTACCAATATTGACCACTTGACCAGCTTTTCCCACTCTCCCAACATACATTCTGACTTTGCAAACTCCAAGCATCATCCGAGAATTTGCAGGCGCTGTGAAAAGATCAGTAAAAAAGAAAACAGGCTTTCCAGAGCATCAAATTTACCAAGCCATCTGATGCTGAGCGAGCTTTAGAAGTACTCACACCTGACTCAGAGACACAGACGTGGACTCAGACCTCTCCTTCTTTACCACTGTAATCTATATTTGAGCCTTCAATCAAAAACCAGAAGCTAGAATCATACCTGTTGATGGCATTCTGGAATACGTTGCTGACAAAGAAGACAAAAAGTATTCAATAGTCTGCTGAATGGAGGCTTTCCACTTCGCATGATTGTCTTCGATGTCAGCTGATGTTAATGTAAGTGCCCGATCTCCAATAAACGTGCGGATCAAAGAAGTGAAGAACAGCAAGCCACCTTTATTGATAGGTTTGTCTGGACTTGCAGGAAGGGTCATCTCCTAAAAACATAAACATACATGTATAAACAAGAAGTAGAGCAATTGAAATACATGCTAACCGTTGCACAGAAGTGTAAACTTCCAAGCACATATTCATCGTCTGGAAATTGATTAAGATGGAAATACTGTTCAGAGAGAATCCGTGTGAAATCTCTCAACCTGGACTCCAAATCTTCCAAAGATACCTTCTCCTTGTCTGTAAATCAAATCTGTCAAAAATAAATGTAATTTGACTAATCTAACCTTGAATTGCCGTGTGAACGTTCAAGATCGTTCCATCTTTAACCGTCACGATACCTTTTGGTCTTAGTACGCCGTAATTCCATCCTATAAAACACAAAACTTAGTTTGTTTAACCTGAAAGCTCCTCCTTTACCTCCTTTATACCAATGATGAACGTAAATGGGTTCATATCTCCCCTTTTTCATGTTCAATTTGGCTGCTCGGATGGCATAACCAGCACCCTGATCAAGCTTCGTAGTAGTTCCTTTCCAGTCGCACTCGATAATAATCACAGTAACCAGATTGTTTGCTGGATCGAGCAACGGATCTCGAACATTTCCCTGAAACAAACAAAATCAGCGCATACTAATCAATGTTTTTCTTTCTTGCCTTCAGATCATATCTGTCGAGGCCAACAAGATCATTTGGATCAAGCACACGCTCCTTGCCTTCATCCCCTTCGTGTCGAATATCATCGCCTTCTTGTTCAACCAATTGCACTGCCGAAGTTTTTTTGGAGTCAAAAGAGGGGGAGAAAAAAAAAAACAACTTACGATCTTCTAATTGAAGCTGCTCCTTTCCTCCAACAACCACCTCGGAGTCTGCTTCTAGAGATGGGCTCGTAAGGAGCCTTATATTTTGTAGAATACTGGCGTATACAATTTTTGCGCCAAGTTCGGTCCCCATAGCTTTGAACTGCTGGCTAGTTCCTGCAACAGGCTCTAGAAGATTACCAACCGCTGCCTTGAATGCTGCTTCATCCATCAGCTTTCCATCAGAAACATTATCTGGTGGCATATACCTCCGCTCTGGAACTACCTTGATATCCACAAACGGATTGTTTATTTCCAGTAAACGCCTATCGTAGCTGCTTTTCTGTAAACGAAATTTCATAAACATCTTACCATGGAAACCGAAACACTCACCTCTGCCTGAAAAGGGTTACCGAGATACTTGGCCCGTTTATTTGGTAGATCGTCCCAATATTTGTTTCCCACCTTTCTCTTGGACAAATTCGAAAGCTCTGCTTCCTTTCGAAGCACACGCTCCCGTAGACTTTCCAGCTCGCGAGATATCTTTTCTGCCTTTCGCTCCTCTGCTTCTTTCTTCCTTGTCTTTGGTACCACGGCCTTCCTAGCAGCCGCTCGCATCGTGCTGAGATGAGCAGCAGAAACCAATCGATAACCGCGGTCCAGCCCTCAGAGCAATTGATGATCCTCGAGACGCAAAGCAGGCCACTACAAACCACCAAAGCCCTAATGAGATTTTAGGGTTTAGCTAAAACCTCCTTTTCTCAACGCTCTAGGGTCTAATCAAAAGGAAAACATAAGCAAAATATTCTATTTGTCAATCTGCAGTATAATCCAGATTATAATTAGCAGTATTATAATTAGATTATCCAGAGATCAGCAAGGCCTTCGGGTCGGTTTTCCAAATGATGTCAAAGCCTTCCTTCAGCTTCTTTCCCGTTCGTAAAAATTGTTTCGAAAGTATCTTTAATAATCAAGTGGCAGCTCCACCTAAGTTCTAAAGTATTATACACCTTGCATTTTCTCGAGGAGAAGTTTTACCTTCGGCCTCTTTCACCGCACAAGGCATGCGACACATACAGTGGACACGAGCCGAGCCGGGAACTAGTTTTTGCCACGTACGAGCCTTATACAGTATAAATATCTGCCATCTCAAATGTAAAGAAAGTAGTTCATTTGCACAGTTTATTTTTTCCTAGCTAGCTCGCAGCTCAAAAACAATGGCACTCGTCTCAGGCAGCAGCATCGCAACTCTCTCTTCTTCCTCTCTCATCTCCAACAAGCTCCACCTCCAATCCCAATTGCCCAGGAGCTCCAGCTCGCGAAATCTAGTGGTGAGAGCGTCCTCGAACAAATCAAGGGATGGTGGCGATGGCGGCATCAGTGGCGTTCTCGACGGCACCAAGAAGGAGATAACCCGCGAGGAGGTGCTCAAGAACCAGGCCGAGAACGAGTCGGAGAAGCGCTCCGTGTTTGGAGCCGTCCCATCGTCCGGATCCTTCTATCCCAGGCCAGAGGTCGAGAGGCGACCAGAGACTGGCGATCGATCGTTCCCCAGCTTGATGGCGTTCGATGGAGCCGGCCCGGAAACGATCAACGGAAGACTGGTAAGCGATTGGTGATTTTTCTTCGCGTTTTTTTCTAGATCAACCAAGTAAGTAACGTGAACTTGTCAAACAGGCAATGGTAGGATTGGTGTGGGCATTCGCAGTGGAGCGAATGACGGGACAAACGGTGGCGGAGCAGCTCTACTCGCCGGGGAGCACTGGTCTTTTCCATTTTCTGGCGGTGGCACAGCTATTCGCGTACGCGTCGCTGGTGCCCATGTTTAAGGGCGAGAGCCCGGACAGCAGATCGTTTGGGCCATTTAGAGCCATGGCGGAGCGCTGGAATGGGCGAACCGCGATGCTTGGCTTCCTCGCCTTGGTGATCACCGAGTTTTTCACCAAGACTCCAGTGTTCCACATGATGTAAATTTTTCTCAAAACGTAATTGCCATTCTTTAGCAACTTAAAGCATGCAGTAAAGCCCCCCATGGTCGGACCATGTAAACGTCCGCCAATGAGAGCAGTAGATCTCAGTTTCAGACGGTCTTCTTGACAATGTAAAAACCAATTATAGTAATCACCGAGTTTTTCACCAGATGTCAATTTGTTAATATAGTGTTGTGTTTAAATCATTCCTGGTCCCAAAACCTTCTCGCACAATTGCTGCTCTTCATGTGGCCAAACTGGTGGCTGCCCCTTGAAAAGAGTAAAGATTCCATTCTTTTCACCCTGAATCCTCTTCCATTTGGCCTTGGCATGCTTCTTCCTGCGTTATTAGAAAAAGTAAAACCATCATCAGTCCTTATAATTCAATTTGGACTAGAGATTCTTTAAAGTACTTTGTCAATTCTTATATTTGTGGCTTGGGATTTGCCACTGGTGCCTTCTTGTTGTCATTCAGCTTTTTCTGCTGCTCCTACAAACAGCATAACATCTTCCTCTTCCTCTGCTCAAGAATCTTTCCCCACAAATTTTTGTTGATCTCGCTCTTCCTTTGCTGACTCTTCAGCAACTACCAAATGATTCATTGATCCTTTCTAAAGAAATGGGCAATTCTTGGCTCAATGATCATCAACTACACACCTAAAGCATTTCTTAGATTTTTGGAATAAAACAAATTTTCTATTTCCACTGTCAGCTAACTTTTTATCAAAAAATGACTCAAATATCCTCACCTGATTGAGAGCTTCTCTTAACTCATATCGTCCAGCTTGGAACAAGAGACGTTTCCCATGGTTTCCAAAGTTCGAATGCATCCCTGAGTACCAAGATCTGCCAACGTACAGTAAATGGTGACCTTATGGCAGATGTGCTTGTAGCTCTAGATCAATATGGGATTGCTCATCGTCTACATGATCATCATAGGTAAAGTCACTTTTTCTCTCACATCTACTCTCCTTTGGAACCATTCTTTTTTTGTTCTCGAGCATGTGTTTCACCTTTGTTTCGTCCCCGTGCCTTCCAGGTGGTGCCATGCGATCTCATAGTGGGAGAGGCTACATATCTGCCTCAATGCTCCGGTTTCCACTGGATAGAAACGCAAGGTTGGGTGATGGCGGCAAAGAGGATGGCAAGACCATATTGTGTTGGAGACCGTGTTCTTCTCTGGAGCTGAGAAGCGTGGAAAAGCTCTCGCGTGGCCATGGTGAAGCGACAAGAATCTTTGTGAGCTCTCACTTATTTTCTTCGTTTCAAGCTTCGTGGAAGTTAGGACCCGAAAGACGCATCACCGACATCCCACCGTCCCTAGTGAACGAGAAATATTTCGTTGTGGAGCTCCATGATCTCTTCAATCCAGGCCGCCGCTCGCTGGAGCTAAAGCTACCGATAGGCCGCATTGCTCCACAAATTCTAGGGTTCTTTTGATGGCTCCATCTTCCAGCGCTTATATACTCACTCGTAGCAATTCCAATGGTTTGCAAGATATGGATATTTCTTGCTTCGAAGAGCCAGAGGTCAGCTCTACTCGGAGTTGAAGCCCCGGTGCGCATGCTTCCATCTCCTTGAATCATTCTGCAGCCTAGAAGATCTTTCGCTTGGTCAAGGCAGTAATGCGCAACGGCAGCCATCTCTTCACGCCGAGGTTCAAAGTCTTGATCTTGTGGGTCGAGTTTCCAGAAGTACTTCTAGAGCTAGATCTCTGCTTCCTCTCCTTGGAATCTCCACACCTTGAGGTGTTCTCCATCGGCTCATTCTTGGCTATCCAATGCAAGGCCCTCCCACGCTTGACGAGGCTCACGTGATGCAGTCTAGGCTTTCGAATCGACAGGCAGAGTGCCAAGACAGATCTGGAGGAGTTTGTGAGCATGGCAACGCTTCTGGAGTACTTGAGCTTGCAAATGGTGGACGTCAACCTAGAGTTACACAACCCCAACGTGAACTACTTGGAGCTCCTGAGTTGCACAGGCCCATGGCACTGATAAATGTGAGTGGACGACTGGTCACACAGGGTAAGATCCTTGAGAGGGTGCACTTTTGTGGTTTGTTCTAGCTAAATGTTGTTTCTTCTCTGCTTAATTTGTTATGTAATTTGGAAATAGTGTTCTTCAGTTGGAGTGCTAAAGTAATATTTATAGTCTTCCAAAAGGAATAAAAGCCAGCATTTTGGATTTTTTCATGCGCTTACCCAGCATCCGAGAGCTGAGGACGAACCTGAGCATGTAGCGGATAAGCTTTGCAGTGTACTTGATTGATTATTTGATTCATCGGTGCCTCACTGGATTTTTGTTGGTGATCAGGGATTCAGGAGTGACAAACACAGAAAGCTCAAACTCGAGAAGCTCCAAGTTTTGGACGTCTGGCTGCCATTTTCCAGCCCAGGCGAGAACAACAAAGAGCAAGAGATGGCAACCAAAGTTTTGCTGGCAGCAATTGACTGTCGAGATTTCTATAGATCATTCCTTTCGAAACGCTTGCACTTGTATTTCACAGGGAATTTTGATTGGCGTTACCGTTCAAGGTGGCCCCGAATGTTCAACGACAAAATCTGCCAACAACAGCTCCGGAAGAGGTTGAAACTTCAAATGGTATTTCTCTTCTATTAGGATTCTTCAAAGATATGCTGTTTACTTTTCTTCGTTTCAAGAGCTCATCTCTCAACTTAAGATCCACATTTTGAAAAGCTTTGCTATTATCTCATTAAGATCGAGAGTTTTACAAGCTCGGTTTTGGCCTCTCTGCATTTCCAACCGGCTGGAAAAAAGACATGGCCTGGCGCTCTACACATGGATACGTACAGTGAATGATCTCTAGAACCAAGTCCGCGTACCATTGCTGACGCCTGGTTTGTCTTTCTTGGATCCCGGACTGATGATCCCGTACACGTTTGTTGTGATTGCCGTGATGCTAGAAACCACTGCCAGGATCACCATGATCGACGCTATCGTTTTGTCATATCCCGTGGCGATGCCGTGCTTATCCCTGCGTGACGAGAGCCGGGTGGTGAGCGGGTACGGTACTCTAGGCGGTAAAACTTTGATGCTTACCTCAGAGCGATAATCCCCGGGAAGACAAAGCCGATGCACACCGCCGCTGTGGCTCCCGTGAACTGGAACACCGTCCAGATGTTTGGGACGAGCGTGGAGCCGAAAAAAATCACGAGGATGAGGACGGTGGTGATGCACGCGAACCGCCGGTTGTCCTCGGAGATTGGAGCGGACTTTGGGAAGAGCAGGGAGTCGAGGTTGATCCGGAGGGAAAAATGGATTAGCGGGAAGACTAGCATGAGATGGACGGCGTAGCCAACTCGGACAATCCCGGCCAGGACTTTGCCATATGGGATCCGGAGGTCGGCGTCAAAGTTGGCGAGTACGTCGTCCATGGTGCTGGCGCCGAAGAGAAGGTAGCCAAACAGAGCTGTCGCAATGTACACGAAGGTGCAGATGGTGATGGAGACGCGGCAGATCTTCTGCATGGAGGCAGGATCGTCGAGCTCGTTGGCGATGGGATGAACTGCAGCAAAAGGATTGCCATGAGCCAAAGAAAGCGATGGACGACTTACGGTTGTGGTGACAAATATAAGCAGTCACAATGACTGGCACGGCCGTGAACAGCTTCCAGAACGAGAACTGATCGTGGACGTCGGGCAGCCATCTTGGCGAAGGGATCTCCTTGTACATCAGCTTCGTGGCAGTAATCACCCCAGTGACCACGACGAAAACAACAGCCAGAGCAATGGACAGAGCTGACGAAAACCTTAGCGAATCTGCAAGAGCATGGCAGCTTTTAGACATTAATATCGAAGAACCAAAACAAAAACAAAAGAGAAAAGAGAAAAGGAAGATTGGCTCACCAACACGCTTGAAAGACACCAACGGGACCAAGACCAGCACTGTTGTCAGTAGGAGTATAAAAAATCTCCCATTCCACCAGAAGGAGCCGCCACCCCACTCTTCCAAAACTCCGGAGTGATGAGCAGCGCCCTGACCAGAACCCGACAACACATCACCTGGAGAGATTTCCCACACGAGGACGAAACAAAGGTGAAACACATGCTCAAGAACAAAAAAAATGGTCCACGGAAGGAGTAAATGCGAGAGAAAAGGTCACTTTACCTATGATGATCATGTAGACGATGAGCAACCCCACATTATTGACGATGATCGAGAGCTGCAAGAGCGTCCGCCCAGTGATCCCAAATGCGTCCGCCATGAGCGAGCTGTAGCTCAGCGAATTCGCGGCCTTGGAGAAGCGCAGGAGAATCTCCAGCGACGCGTCCGTGAGAATGCCGACGAACACGATCGTGATCATCCCCAGGAAGATCCCCAGCTCCTTTTGCGTCGCCGGCAATGCCATAATCCCGGCCCCAACGATCGTGGTGAGGAGATTGAAGACCGCGCTGGGAGCCGAGGCGCCGGAGATTCCCACCTCGAAGCCTTCCTCCTCCTCCTCCTCCTCCTCCTCATCCCGCCGCTTCGGCAGCAATGGCGAGCTCTCCGTGGCCGGATTATCGGTGATCGCCACGGCCGTGTGACCTGACGACGCCATGGAGGAGCTCTGCGATCCAATCAAGACGCGCAATCTGCCGCAACTTGCACAGCGAATCGAATCGAAATTCTCGGGAAATCTCTACCTGGAACAGCGTCGTCGCGGCGAGGAGCGAGGATTTTGCGCGAATCACAGCAAAGAAAGACGAGAAGAGAGGAGCGCCTTCCTCGGCGTCAAGAATCAAGGAAGAACCCCAATAGAATCTATTGCACGGTGGAACTCTATATGGGCAAGAACGGACGGCCAGGATCTTCCCGGCACGCGTTCCCGAATATTCGTGTTCTTTATTCCCACCCCACTAAAGAAAAATTAAAGAATGGTCCGTGCTACAAAAATACGAAGAACTTTCACTTGGTGACTTCGTGGATCGCGTTCGCGAGGTACTCCACATTTCCAGTGGTAACGCCGGCCATGCTACAATAGAGAATTCCATGGAATCAATGAAAACCAAATGGAAGCTATAAGGTTTACCTTATGCGACCGTTGCGAGTCATGTAGATGTGAAACTCTTTTGTCAGACGATCGACTTGATCTTCCGTGAGACCGCTGTAGCAGAACATTCCAATCTGCGTAGAGAAACCAGCGGTAAGCGAGACGAATGAATCAAAATCTCAATCTCAATCCACCTGTTCTGTGATGTGCTTCCACGGTAGCGATGAGCCGAGCTTCTCCAGGTTTGATTTCAAAGCCTCACGCATTCCTATGATTCTGTCCGCCATCACCTGAAAGGAGAGGACTTTAAGAACTGGGATGCGTGAAGCTCGTGTAGTACCTTGACTTCCTTGTACCATTGCTCCTTTAGTTCCGGATCGCTCAAGACGGTCGTCACGATTTGAGCTCCGTGAAGCGGGGGATTGCTGTACATGGGACGAGCTATTTGCTGCAGCTGACTCTTGACGTTCACAGCCTGCTGCGAGTTGTCACAGACGACACTGAAACGCAATGTTAGGAAACGAAGGAGAAAGATGTGGAATAAGCGGTACCTCAAACATCCGACTCTCTGGCCATACAAGCCCATGTTCTTGGCAAACGACTGTGCGCACGCCAACTGGTGGCCATCTTCCATAAATATGCGAATTGCCTGCGCATCTCTGACCGTGTCACCGCTTGCGAATCCTTGATAAGCCATATCAAAGAATGGAAAGAGTCCATTGCTCTGGAATAAACAGGTTTTTCAGTTGGAACAGAACCATCGAAGGCTGTACCTTAAAGAGCTGAGACATCTCTTTCCACTGGTCAGCAGTAGGATCAACTCCAGTTGGATTATGAGCACAGGCATGCAGCAAGACGAAAGATCCCTCGGGTGCTTTCTGGCCATTTACAAGTTCGATTTTCAGAAAGGAAGAACAAAAAAATTAGATCTTACTTTCAAATCCTCCATCAACCCTTCAAAGTCCAATCCACGCGTGCTGGGCTTGTAGTAGCGGAATGTGTGAGCCTCGACTCGAGCATCCCTCCAAATGTTATGATGACTGTAAGTGACGCACACCAAAAGGAGGCAATTTTTTTAGTATAAGAAAACCATTGCTGCGTTTGCTTACTTGGCCCAGGTAGGAACGGGGATGTAGATACGTGAATCAGGCTTGAATCGCTTCTGGAAATCCGCGAAGAGCCTGCAAGCACCAGTCCCGGAGAGCGTTTGAACGGCGGCAACGCGTTTCTCCTCGAGAACTGGGGCAGTATCGCCATAGGCGAGCTTCACCGAGAGATCATTAAACTTGACAAGGCCCCCCATTGGAAGATACTCCCTGCGATTTAAAGACATAGTTTGATACCACTCGAGAACACAAATTTTCCACTCACATATTTTGCTTCCCAGCTATAATTTGCTCGGCCTTGCGGACGCATTCCAGAACGACTGGCTTGCCTTCGTCGTTCCTGTAAGCGCCCTGAAAAGAGAAATTCACACAGGTCATCCGAAATTTCGACCGATCTCGATTGGAAATGCTAGATCGCAGCTAGGAAAACACTTACCACGCCGACATTGACCTTCTTCGGATCCGAATCCGCGAGAAAAGCCTCAGTGACGCCGAGGATCGGATCCCGCGCCGCCGGCTGCACAGCTTCCCACCATCCGGAGCGAGCTCCAGCAGGAACAGACGACGCTGGCGCCGCCGCCGTCGACATGAAACGCTTGGCGCCGTTCCTCACAAGCCCGCTCGCCATAGCTCTCCAAGAACTTCTACAAAGAGGAGCTACTAGAGAATGGTAAAGCCCTACCTTGGTTAATCAACCACCATCCTCGGCCCACATTTTGCCGCGTGGCCCCCACATTTGTCCCAACACTGTATTTAGCAAAATCCCGAAGAAAAAGAAGCATATTCGCTCCTCTCTGCCCGGATAAGTCTCGAGCACCTCGCTCCTCTTTGGCGATGGCGAAGTGGAATGGTACAGCTCGGGGACGACTCGCCGCTCCGATCGAGAAGGTCTGGAAAATTACGTCCAATTTCGGGGGGCTGATGGAGTGGTCTCGCATTGGCGCCATGAAATCGTGCGAGATCTCGGAGGGAGAGAATGGGATTCCTGGCTGCGTGAGGAAGATCACGGCCGAATTGCCCGACAGTGGAGGCAGCGCAGAGATTCACGAGACGCTGCTGGAGCTGGACGACGCGAATCACATCCTGAGGTACAAGATCCACGCCCCAGCGGTGGACCTCTTTGATGGTCTCCATCCCACTCTCAAGCTTTTGGATCGCGATGGAAGCACGGAGATCGAATGGGGCTACGAAGTCGATGCCGATCCCGCGGATCCGGCCAAGGAGCAGCGAATTGCCGCCGCTGTTCTTGGATTCTACAGTGCGGGCATTGAAAATCTCAAGAAGATCGTCGAATGAGAGAATCCTAGTATTATTTTTAATAATATAACGTTGACTTTTAAGTTGGCCTGACGCTGAGATGGGGATCGATACGAAGTTTTCTTTGCTAGCTTTGAAATTTTCTTCGTTGTTTTTATTACATTTGTGATCTTGGTCATTGAGAAATTTACTCTGCTTTGCATTGACTTTTATTGACTTTGTAAAGATTTTGACTTTCATTGACTTGCATTGACTTTCATTGACTTTTGGGGCCGAGCTCCTCAGGACGAGGCAAAGAGCATCGCCACGATCGTATTTATCAATGCCGGCACTGGAGATCATGGCGCGGCGCCAAACCATAAGGAAGAACAGAGTCCTCCACTTGGAATCAAGGTCACACATCAACGCAACTTCAGACTGGACCTCCACGGCCTGATGAATGAATTTGAGCAAGAGATCGAGCAATGCTCTGGCCGTGTGGATCCACCACAGAGAGAAACTCACAATGTACCACATATTGCCAGGAGACAGCCCACCAAAATCTTCGGCCTAGAACAAATGGCTACCTGGAATCGTCATGCGATCGCAAAGTACCCGGGCATGGGAAGTCACCTATTACCGATAGATAGATCGTGAGGCCAAAGCCCGGATAGGTCTCGGGCTCGATTCCGTACAAAGGATTTGCGCGATGGCGAAGTGGAATGCAACAGCTCGTGGACAGATCGCCGCTCCGATCGACAAGGTCTGGAAAATCACGTCCGATTTCGGGGGTCTGATGGAGTGGTGCGACACTGGCGCCATGAAATCCTGCGAGATCGCGGAGGGCGAGAATGGGATTCCCGGCTGCGTGAGGAAGATCACGGCCGCATTGCCCGACAATGGAGGCAGCGCGGAGATTCTCGAGACGCTGCTGGAGCTGGACGACGCGAATCACGTCCTGAAATACGAGATCCAGGCCCCGGAAATGCCCCTCCTCCATGCCACTCTCAAGCTTTTGGATCGCGATGGGAGCACGGAGATCGAATGGGGCTACGAGGTCGATGCCGATCCCGCGGATCCGGCCAAGGAGCAGCAAATCGCCGACGCTGTTCTTGGAATCTACAATGGGGACATTGAAAATCTCAAGAAGATCGTCGAATGAGAGAATCAAGGCATTATTATAAAATTCTAGCGTTGCTTTTTTAGGGCTCTCCCCGGTTCCAGCCAGGGTTGGATCGATCGATCGGTTGCTTGGGCTAGCGAATTGGAGGCGCGATCTCACTGCCGCAGGCTCGATTTTTCCGGCGCTGCAAGATGGGGCTCGATATGAGGTTTGCTTTGCTAGCTGAGAAAATGAAGAGAATTTTTCCCTTCGAAATTTTCTTCTCTGTTCTTCAGTAAGTTCCAGAGTCTTAGCGATCACGGCAACGTTCTCGTGATGAATTCAAGGCAAGAATGGCTGGCGAAGCTGGACGAGGCAAAGCGAAGCGGAAAAGTGGTAAATTTCTTCATCGCTTTCCTTTTCGTTTCTTTGAAAGAAAGCAAAGAAACTGTGATGCTTTGCGTGTAGATCGTCGTGGACTTTACAGCGACATGGTGTGGCCCTTGCAAGGCGATGGCTCCCATTTTCGTGGATCTCTCGAAACAGTTTGAGCAGCTCATCTTTGTCAAGGTCGACGTCGATGCGCTCAAGGCAAGTTTTTTCTTTTCTTTCTTTGTGCTTGTATACAGCGATCGATCGATCCATTGAAACTCTCTGCCTGGTTCTCCTCAGGACGTCGCTCAAGACTGGTCCGTCCAAGCAATGCCGACCTTCATCTTCATCAAAGACGGCAAGCTCCTGGACAAGATCGTTGGCGCAAACAAATCCGAGCTCCAGCGCAAGGCGGCAATGTACGCGACCGGAGGATAATTGCCAGCATCCCAATCGATCACCAAGCTCCCGAGCTCTCACATAAAACTCTCTATTCCAGATTATACATGACAATGCATACACTACACTTTTGAGAAAGTTGCAATGCTATGGTCAAAGAAGATGCTTCCTTTGCCTCAAAGAGAAGTCACAATCTATAGCTATAGATTTATCGATTATATCCTTTTAGCATCGCAAGAGATGCTACCACCACCTTGAGCTATGATTGATCCAATGATAGAAACACTGTAGGGGTTTAGAACACCTAAAATTCCTTGGTTGTTCGTGGTTCGTAGTAGCCAGTTGGCAAAGGCACAGGCATTAATGTCTGCGCAATGTCCATCACATTTATCTCGCATGCGGTGAGTGAGAGAGGGATGTAAGAATTCCTGGCAGACCGGGCATCACGAACTCCACAGTACTGTACTCCTCCTCTTCTCCTCGGCAGCGCTCTGCTAGATTGGAGCAGCGCGGAGCTTCTCTCGATCGATCGATAGCTCTACTGCAATGGGCTCGTCCGGGGGATTGATCTTCATCGCCGCCGCGGTCATGGCGGCGTCCGCGGCCACGATGATCCACTCCAAGAATGTGGATTGCACCGAGCAGATCGAGAAGATGCAGCCGTGCCTGGCGTTCGTGGAGAACCAGGTGAGCATCCCCGGATCCGACTGCTGCAAGGCGCTGCTGTCCGTCCACTTGAACAGCCCGGTGTGCCTCTGCAAGCTCCTCTCCAGCTCCAGCTCCATGTCCTCTCCCGCCGGCGTTAACGTCTCCAGCGCGATGCTCCTCCCCAGCATCTGCGATGTCCACACCAATGCCTCGCGATGCCCCGGTAAGCAATGCTAGCTCCTCGCGTGCTCGCGCGAGATTGATACTCTCTCTCTCTCTCTCTCGATTGGGTTCCACGATCTCATAGTTTCCTCTGCGATTGGGTTCTACGATCTCATCGTTTCATCTTGTTTTGTTTTGCTCGATTGGGTTCTACGATCTCATCGTTTCATCTTGCTTTGAGCGATTGGGTTCCAGGATCTCATCGCTTCATCTTGCTTTGAGCGATTGGGTTCCACGATCCCATCGTTTCATCTTGTTTTGATCGATTGGGTGCCATCATTTCATGTTTTGATCGATTGATCTCATCGTTTCATTTCTTTTGATCGCAGGACTTCTCGCTGGAGCGCCGGAGCCGTCTGATGGTAAGTTCTAGCTAGCATCATCCAGAAAACCATATGCTTACAAGCTCTGGCCCCTTGCAGGGAATCGCAAAGCTTCGTCCGGTGAGTAGTCGAGCTCTCTCTTGGGACAAAGAGAAGATATCGTTTTTTTTTTTGTGTGATTGTTCTTCCAGAGGATATAGCTTCCGGGAGCCAAAGGCTGGTCTGGAGCTGGATGTGGAGCACTGTCGCGGCGGTCCAGATCCTTTTTTCCATGCTTTAGAAAAGATAAAATCTACACAACAGTGTAATAGACAGTTCTAATACACCACACTGTCACTTACGCTTGCTATAGGTAGGTTTAGGGTTTATCCCTCCTCTTCTATGCGATGGACGCGAGCGCGATGAAATCCGCGCTGCAGGAGCTCTTCGATCTGTATCTCGGGGTAGGATTTCTCACGATCTAGATGTAGCGTTGCCGATTTGCGCCGTTTCCAGCTCAATGCGCTCCTGTAGCGCCTCTAGTGCGATTCTAGTGTAGTGATTCCAGTTTCTAGCATGGATTAGAGCTCACAGGAGAGGATCTCCGCATGTTTATATCGCTCACATCGTTTTTTTTTCCAGAGGAACTCTAGCGTCAAAGGCGAAGGAGCCGGAGGGAGAGAGAATGCGTAAGCGATCTAGTAGCTAGTCGTGGCTCTACCGTAACTTTGTTTCCCTTTTTCTTCGCTCTTGCAGGACTAAGCAACGAAAGAAAGCTTCCACTAAACCGCATCCTCCTAACGAGCAGTTCCAGTCCGACTATCTTCTTCTACAAAACCAGTTCATGGTAGGCTTGTTCTTTTCTAGTTTCTCTATACGACGATTCTTCTTGCAGGATCACAATCAGCTTCAAGCGATAACAGAGTCACTCGTTGCCATGTTGTTCATACAATGTGGAAGTCACGCTCCCCAAGCCGACTTCTTACTCTTTGCTCTCCGGACGCTTGCTAGAGCCGGGTTGCTGCGCTCGGATATGTTTCTACTCGCCTTCTTCCGGGCCGTGGCTATGGTGGAGTCGAATCCTGTCGCTGTGACGCAAGCTCAGTCTTCTCCTTTAGTCTCAACGTCTGGGGAACCATCGACTAATATCTTGGTGACACCGTCTTCGGCCAAGAGAGCATCGGTTTGGCTGCGTCCGCTGGTTTGCAACGTCATGGGCGCTGCTCTGGAGGCCGAGTTGAGGCCAGTAGCGTCTTTCGACATGCTTTACCTCACCGTGCAGTGGATCAACGACGTTGCTAGCGGAAGCGAGGGATCGCTCAAAGACGTAACTTGGCTAGACAATTGTCTCGAAGTTTTGCGGATGCTGATAGACGAGAGGAAATGCCGAGTGCCATTCTACGCTCTTCTGCACGACCAGACGTTGCTCCAAGCGGACTATTGGCCTGAGAATGAAGCGCTCCTGGGACTCTTTCTCGATCTGCATCGGAGGCGTGACAGGATTGCTTTACACATGCTGATGTTTGATCATCACTTGCAGTGTCCAACCTTTTCAACACTGAGATCCACAGCGTTGACTTATGCAGGGGCGATGGGAGAAGCTCTGTATGGAGAGGTACTTTGTGTTTATTTTTCTATGTTTTTTCATTTCATTTGCGTGCGTGAATTGATCTTATGCTTCACATGCATATAGATAAATAGATAGAACTTCTTTATTGAAAGTTGTTACGTTGTATGTGCAGGAAGTTGCTGCTTCCGTTCAGCGTGACAGCCTAGATTATGAGAAGGCATTGCGGTGTCTTAAACACGGCCTACGAACAAATCCATCCGCCGACATTTGGAGGCGTGTTTTGGTATGTGCTCCACGGCACCGGCAGCAGCAGCAGCCTGTCCCTCCCAGACCGGGGCCTAACACTTCGTGGACACAGCCGGGGCTAGTTTTTAACTCGGAAATGACTTGCGAGGCTGTAGTGGAAAGAATTATGGATCTTATGCAGCCTATTTCTACGGGTAGGGGATTTTATCATATTTTCTCATTGTGAATGATATCTTGTCTAGATGGTTCCAGGGAGCCCTGCCTTCAGCGCGACATCCACAACAGAGTCGGGGAGATGGCAGGAATGGCTCAACTTTGCTGACTTGTTCTACTATTTTATGCGGAGAGGCTACCTGGATTTTCTTGAGTTTATTGAAAAGCTGGCCGGGGCTTTTGCAAGTGGAGAGCAGAGTATACAACGGAGCAATCATGTCACCTGGTTGCTTGCACAAGTATTTCGCCTCGAAACCGTCACACAGGCTCTGAGTGAGGACGAGGACTCGAGAAAGGTCGCCTCGTTTTCGTTTTCTCTTTTTCCTTCTTACAACTTGTATGTTCCAGGTGGAGACTGCTCAAAAGATACTGTCGTTTCACATGGCCGACCGCTCCGTGGATCATAGCAATGCTGTATCTCCTCAGGCGAAGCTTTTGGATTACGTGGGAAGCAGTCAGATTTTACGACTCTGGGCATTGAATCGAACTGTGATGGAGCAGTTGGTCGGTAATCGAATGCCAGAGCACATTCAGAAAGGGAAAACAATTGATGAATGGTGGAAGAAAGTTTTGAAAGGTATTTCCTTGTTAGTGTAGTAAACTTCATCTTATTTTGTGTTTCTTTTGTCTATCTTTTTCTTCCAGGAGAACGCTTTCTAGACTATGCAAACCTGGATGACAACTCCATGGGAATGGTGTGGGTTTTATCACACACCATGACGCAACCCGTGGCTGACGCTGTGATGAATTGGATGCGGTCCAACGGCGTGGGGGAGGTTCTTGTTGGAAATGAAAGAATAGCGGTGGTTCACGAGACAAGCCCGCTTCCGATTGCCATGCTGTCTGGGTTATCTCTTCATCTTTGCATGCGGCTTATACAACAAATTGAGGAACAAATATTTGCTGGTCAGGTACGGCGCTTTTTGCTTTTTTATGTTTTGTTGTCTAATACCTTCTGCCAGATGGTACCAAGCATAGCAATGCTGGAAACGTACGTGCGCTTGCTTCTTGTCGCACCACAGACATTATTCCAGCATCACCTGAACGTAAGTTGCTGAACGAGATAGACATGAGCTGAACATATTGAATTAACAGGGAATGATGCAAAAGTACCAAAGCGGTGCAGCAAAAGCAGGAATTTCGCTTATTCTTCTTGAGCTTCTCAACTATCGTTTGATGCCCTTGTACAGGTAAGTCTTCTTTCGTCTTTGTTTAGTTTAGCAAGTACTATGTATGTACAGGTTCCATGGAAAACTGAAGCAGCTAGTGTTTGATATGGCTAAGATTATAATTCCAATGAAGGCCAAACGTGGAGACCACCGACTCTTCCGTCTTGCAGAAAACCTTGGAATTAACCTTGTTCTTTCAATGAAAGAAGTTTTGCTTATAAAGAAGGAGAAGGTAAAATGCATCTCTGTCGCTGCAATTGTTATACTCTGCTTCTGATATTTCCAGGGTGCCACGACGGAATTCACGGAAACTTTGAACCGAATTATGGTAGTAAGTCTCGCTATTACTATCAAGACCCGGGGCATTGCAGAATTCGAGCAGCTACTTGTTCTACAAACTGCGTTAGAGCAAATACTTGCGAATAGTAAACATACATGGTCAGAGAAGACAATGCGGCACTTCCCGCAGACGCTTCGTGAAGTTCTCGCTTTAAGATCTGATGGAAGACTGCTAACTCTTCAAACTTGGCAGCAGGTTGGCTGACATATCATTTTTCGTAATTTTAACGTTCAAGTTTTACAGGTTGAGACTACTGTTTTGCACCAGTGTCAACAGCTTCTTGCTGGTGACCCAGCATTTGCCATGTCCTTTGTAAATCACAGTTTTCCGCCACACCGTCCGTTCCTCTGTGCCGCCGCCTGGGTTTTGATGGATTGCCGTCCTGAGAATTTCAACTGTGGAAATCTTGTACGTGATAGTGATGTTTTCACAGCTGCTAACTTGTACATTTGTTGCAGGGTAAGGCTTTGAAAGAGCTGTCACCTGAAGACGTAACCTCGAATATCTACATGCTTGTTGATATCCTACTTCATCATATGCACCTCCAGCTACAGCACGGACACTCGCAGCAGGTAAATTCTTGATAATTTTTTTCCACTTTTGTGACAAGTTTGGGTTCTGCAGGATCTTCTGTTGAGGGCCAGTGCTACTTTAACTTATCTCGTATGGTCCCAGGAAATATTACCATTTGACATACTGCTTTTGGCGCTGCTAGACCGTGACGATGACATTCATGCGCTACGACTAGTGGTATGCTCATTTGTGGTTTCTCCTCTCACCATATCATGCTGATTGCAGGTTAGTTTGCTCCTTGATCGCAAGGAGTTTCAGCAGCTTAGAGTTCAGAATTACTGTCGGCAGCATGGTCAGCAGGAGCACTGGCTGCATCCGGGGCCTTTCCAACGTGTAGAGCCGCCACAGGCCCTTGGAAATCACTTGGCTGGAAAGGAGAGGTATGATTGAGTATGGCTACTTGGTCACGTTGGTTCACTGTTTATTCTAAATGATGATTCAGGTACCCTGTATTCTTCGATGACATGGCTTTGCGCGCCTTGCCTGTCATCCACCTTGTTGTCTACCGCCTGATAGAAAACGACGCCACGGACACCGCAGAACATGTTTTGACTGCATACTCTCCTTTGCTACGTTACCATCCTACTCGTTTCACATTTGTGCGTGATACTCTTGCGTACTTCTATGGTCATCTGCCGAACAAGCTTATCTTGAGACTGCTGAGCAGCCTAGACATTGCGAAGGTAACAAGTTTCTATTGACTTTCCAGATGCATTATGAATCCGAGGTGCTTTTAACCAGATGCCGGTGTCGGAGGCGTTTATTCGGATACTCAACACTGGAACGCCTCCATATGACTACTACGTAACAATGCTCTTGAATCTGGTAAACAACGTAATCCCCTCGTTCACTAACAAGCCAAGAACGTCATCCCCGACAATGGAAAGTTTTTGCACGACGCGATCAACTACGCCTGGCAAGAGCCCGGCATCATCCACCAATTCGGCTGACAATCACAAGGCGTTTTATCACCACCAGGATCCTGGAAGCTACTGCCAACTTGTCCTGGAAACCTGTGTCATCGAGCTACTATCTTTGCCAACACCTCCAGCGCAGGCAGTAGCAATGCTCGTCCAGATAGCAGTCCGTGTCCCAACACCTCCTTCTCAGGCTTACGCCTCAGCTTCACAGTCAGCAGCTCCACGGAGTCCCCTGTTGCCAACGTCTCCTCCATCAGCATGCACGGCAGAAAGCTCCACTCCGTCTTCTACCTCCGTCTCAACCGGCCAAACGATCTCGCCTTTCATATCTCCGCAAGTGATCCAAGCTTGCGGCCTTCTCTTGGCTCAGCTACCTAGACAATTCCACGATGTGTTCTACAAGGAAGTGGCACGTATACTCAAGGACTGTTGGTGGCTCAAAGATCCAAAGAAAACTCCCAAGGAGATGGATGCTGCTTTCGGCTATTCGGTATGGGACCCCTCTTGGGCGGTTCAAGACGGGACGTCAAGTGTGATAGGTACAGAAACGATCTTTTTGCTTCTTATTCCTTCTTTTCTTCTTTTTTTTTCTTTTTTTTTTTTGTGCTAATATCTTCTGTACAACTTTGTCAGGGAATGCGGCCGCTTTGTTCCATGCATTCACGGCCAACATATCTTTCGAGTGGCTTGAAAACACGCACGACGTCGTCAATTTGCAAAGGCCGATGACCACAGTTGCGCAGCTGCGGCTCGCGTTTCGGATGTTGGGACCGTTAGTGCCGCGCTTCGTGATCTCACGACCTCTGTTCGCAAAGGTGATACTTTTATATCGCATTCTAAAATCCTCTTTCTAACTTGTTTTCGCTACAGACTTTAGCTTTGCTATTCACAATGCTCGCAGAGGTGTTTGGCCGAAACGCCCAAGTTCACGACGTTACCGAAATCACCGATCTAGTAGATTTCATGTAAGTTCTACTCTCCTCTTTTGCTTTAGATCGTATAAAAAACCAAACTTGATGTTTGTGTGTCCAGGCACCATGTTGTAATGCTGGAAGCACAGCAGGCCGGTGGAAAACCAAGGCCCGACACTCTCGGCCTCTGCAACAAAGCGGTGGAGCGCTTACATCCCGACGTACAACACTTGTTCCAGCATCTTACGGTAGATCCCCAGCGATCGATTTACGCTGCCACTCATCCCAAGATCGCTCAAAGGCCACTCTCATGCTTCGCTACAACAACGTAAAGAACACACACACAGTACTACTATCAATTTAGGTACTTCTAACCTCTCTTTTTTAATTTTTTTTCGGTGCTCAAAGTAACACTTCTTTCTTTCGCTCTAGACTTTGAAAAACCGCCCGCCTTTCTGTCCAACTCCCGTCCCAGCGAGGCTGGCAGCGAGGAGAGATCTCGTATCAGGCCGCCACTTAAACTCCTTCAGCGAAGCAAAGCAATTCGCGAGAGCTGGGCTCACCTCCGAGTCCCGGATGCTGTCGCAGAACGTCACTCGCAGCCGCTGGAGATCTTTCCAAGCCATCACCGCCGCCTCCAACCCGCTGGTGGTCAGAAGCGAGCATCCCTCGAGCGAGAGAAGCCGAGTCTTCCTGGCGCAGAGAAAGACAACGTTAATCACAAGCTCGCCATCAAAGCTCTAAAGGCTCTTACCTGCATTTGCTCGCCATGCTAAAGGTCTCGTCTTCCAGCCCCCAGCAATCGTTAAACTCGAGCTCCCTCACGTTTCTACACACGCTCAGCAGCGCCGCGAAGCCCAGCCGGTCGCGAAGATCACACTTTGCGAGCTTGAGACAGTCCAGCGCCGAGCAGTGGCCGAGGTACTCCGGAGGCCCCGGGTCTACGTCGATGTTCCGGCAACTCACCAGGCATAGCTTCTTCAAACACGAACATTTCGACAAGGCAGCGATCCAGCCTCTCTGGAATCCTTTGGTGGACAGCGTCAGCTCCTCGAGCATGAAGCAGCACTGGCCGATGGCAGCGATGCCGTGGTAGCTCGCCTCGCAGCCCATGAGCTCGAGCTTGACGATTCGGCTAAACCGGTTGGCTAGAACAGTGAGGCCGATGTCCGTGAAAGTGCCCAAGTAGTGCTCCGTGACGAGGCCGACAAGTCTCACTATTTGGAGGTGGCGGCACGCGGACATGGCCGTGAGGGCCTCGTCTGTGCACTGGAGGAGCTCCAGCTCTTGCAGCATCGGGCAGCTCCGCGCGACGTACGCAAGCCCGGCCTCGATCTCCGCCACCATTTTGGACGATGGTGCTCTCTCGGACGAGAGCGCCACCACCTTTGACGAGGCGCGATCCGACGAAAGCGTCACCACGGCAATTGGCTGCTGCTTCTTCTCCTCCACCGCCGCCCTGGAATCGTCGAAGACGCGAAGAAGACCCTTGATGGATCGCTCCCTGTAGACGTCCTTGAGGGACAATCGCTGCAAACCTGAGAAGCTATCGCCGAGGATCTTGAGACCGCTGTCCAGGGCGGCGGGGGAGAGCTCGTGCTCTTGGATGCATCGCTCCACCGGGAAGATGTCCACCACGTCGGGCGTGAGGGGCAGCGTGTAAGAGCCGTGCGTGAGAAGCACCGCGGAGCAATTCCTGGGGACGAGCACGCTGGCCTGCGTCAAATCCAAGTCGGTGAGATTGGGAAACCTTGCCTTCAATCGCCCGCTCTCGAGGTAGCTCCACTCGTGGAGCTTGAGGGATCGGCGCAGGAGGCCGTGGAGCCGAAGCCAGCGCTTGCAGACGAGCGAGCAGGGATACGGCGACGATCCCCCGGGCAGCCGGGCGAGGATGCTGAGGAGAATTTCGTCGGTGAGGAGGGCGGTGAGATCCGCCCCGGCCAGGAATTTCGCGGGATCGATCTTGTTGCCCAGGCCCTTGCCCCTGATCTGGTGATGATGCTGCTGCATCGCCAGATCGATCTGCGAGGATTGGGATCCCTCTCCAGGCGCGCCTTTTTGACACATGAAAGGAAACTCTCTTCGGTGCGCGCGCTCCCTCCGCCAATGCGGCCTACAATCGCATCGATCGATCGAATTCCACGGCCGTGGCGTGGGAAATCCCCGCGCTAGAACCCTAGCGCCATAGCCCGGGCGGCCCCTTTCCCTCTTTGCTTGCTCTTTCAAACCCTGGGACGCGTGACAAGCCGCCCAGCGGAAAAAACAAATGCCACAACACTGTAGAGAGAAAAAAGAAGAGAGATGCAATGCTTCGCTTCGTGGCGACCGTTGGATGCGCTCAAACCCGACGGCCCAGATGCGTCCAAATCCGGGCGTACGCACGCCGAGATTTGTACAAGCTAGATTGGACGAATATCCTCGCAAAGCTGGAAGGAATATTTCACGCTTTTCTAGCTTAACCGGTAATGGTTTAAAACGGACTCTCTTCCGAAATCCACCTCCTTGAAAGCTCCACTCAACTAAACGGATCAAGGCTTGTCTATCGGATGGACTGTCGCTACTCCAAAACTTAGCGATCGATCGATTGATCTGCGAGAATGGAAATATCAAAGTAGCTAAGCGATCGAAACGAGCTGCCTACCACTATAAATCCAGCCATACCTCTGAAAGAAGAGTTTTTTCTCCTCTTTTTTGTGCTCGACCACTCACTCCTCGTCCCTCTCAGATCTTACAGTCTCCACGAGCTCATTGATGGCAAGCACGGCCTCTTGCAGGGATGTCACAGCTTCTTTATGAGCGGCCAGGTACTCGGCCTCGGCTTGACACTCCTCCAGGCCGGAGATGGCACCATCCAGCTCTGCCGGGGTGCAACACAAGTTACACGCCTCAGGTGGAGCGACTCGCCTTTGATCGGTGGCTTGACGCTCGCTGGGGTGGCCTGCTCGTTTCAAGATCTGGAGGGTCGCAGTCTGCAAGAGTAAAGCATTAATTCACCCGAAAGAATTCTCGCTTTTAAGAGAACGAAACTAAAACCTGGGAGAATGGAAACAAGGAAGGATTTGTAGCGAGGAACTTTTAAAGCATTCAAAGAAAGTTCGAAAAAAAAACAGAAAAGATAAAAACGAAGCTTTTAAGAGACCAAAACTTAAGCCTGGAAGTGGAATGGAAACAAAGCTAGGGAGGGATTTCTGGCGAGGCATGAAGAAACAAAAACTTGAAAGCAATCAAAACTGTGAAACAAAAAGAAAGCTCTTTGTCTACTTTACCATCTGGAGCTTTTTCTTCTCGTGAGACTGCACGGCCTGCAATAACACCGCGAGGTCCTCCCTGGAGCACGCAGGATCTCGCAACGCAGCTTCGATTTCAAGCACCTAGAGATTTTGGCAGCATGGCACATGACAAGAACACAAAAATTAAGAATTTCCAAGGAAGAGGAAAAAAGGAACTTTGTGGATGGAGGGATTGATTGCCGCTCATGCCTGTCTGGAACACTCATTAAATTCCACTGTCACTCTGCCGCAAAGCTCCTTGTAAGCCAGCTCCGCATTAGAACGAAGATAATCTGCAAAACCCCTGGCCAGTAGCTAGAGTGTCACTGCTTGGACGAAATCGCAAGAATTTCCACTGATCAACTACGATCGAGACGGCGCAAGCAAAGATATAGCATTACCTCTGGAGCTCCGTGTAGATCGTTGCTCGCCGCTCCTGGATCTCGAGAAACCGGCGAAGGAGCTCCTTCTCGGCCATAGCCAATCGCACTAGGGTTTATACTTACGAGGGTTTTTTTCTAATTTTCGCGCCAAAACGATTAGGGCAAGCTATGGCGGAGGAGAGCTCCACTCCATCGAGACAACACAGGTTTGGAGTCTACCAGAATGCGGCGATCGCCTCGGCGCTGGATGCGCAAGGGTCGAGGAGGAGCTCGCCGCCAGCGATCGTCGCGCTTGTTTTCCTCGTTTCCACTTGGGGATTGCTCTCGATTTCTTACCGGTGAGTGGGCTCTAGGGTTCTTGGCAGGGTTCTAATGCTCACACTGTTAGGAAGGAGACGATCAAAGACACAATGCGGCTCTTTGGGCTCACGTATCTCTTCGCAAGTAAGATCTTTCTATCTTTTCTATCTCCTTGGTACTGATGGAACAAAAAACTAACGTAGAAACTACCGTGAGACTTTGCCAAGTCGTTCTTACGCTCGTCTTCCTCGGTGCATTGTCCGCGTTCTTGAAGGCCATTTTTTCTTCCGAGGAAGGCTACTTCGTTTTCAAGTCATCTTCCCAGATTTCATCGCCACTGACACCACGGCAGGAGATGCTACTTGGAAGGCGAAGCTCAAGAACAGCACTGCCGCCGCCAAAGACTGCCAAATCTCCGACCGCGGTTTCTCCAAGCACGATGTTCCCGATCCATCCTCCGCTGTTCAAAGGCGGAGTGAAAGGAAGTGGCCAAGCTCTCGGGGCTGCATCTCCAGCAACACCAGTGCAAGTGAGTACATTTCCATACACACCATCAGTGGCTTCTTCTCCAGACTCGAGTTTTCTTCCGTGGACGCTCAAGTACAGGAACGATGAGATTCGGACTGAGGAGGAGCTTGAGAGTTTTCTCTCGGACGTGGGAACTAGAATGGTCGAGTCTTCAGGGAGATCAGGCAGCACTCCACAGGGTGGTCCAGTTACGCCATCGCCAATACGAGTTCTAGGTGCCGGCTCCGGCCCAAACGTGATGAGCACTACACCTCGCTCTCCAGCAACTGCAGGGACACCGGTACGAGCCGTAAGGGTCTCGCCAAGTTCTCAAAAGTCGGGTGTTTCGCCAAAGAAGGCAGAAGGTGATCTTCCTGCTCCTTTCACAATCGAGCAGGCAACAGATGGCTTTAAAAAGCTGGGCTTGTGGCCTGATATCGACCAGTGGAGAGACGGTCTCAGACAATGGTTTTCGGACGTTCTGCTTGCGCCACTGCTCTACAAGATCGACAGGAGCCATCTACAGGTAGCGAGCAGTATTGGTTTTCATGCCATGACAATGCTTTTATGACGTTACAGGTTATGGAGACAGCGGCAACACTTAGTTTTTCCTTGGCAATCAGTCCGATCGAGGGTAAACGCAATAGCAACAGCAGTCCTGGAATGGATGGGAGTGCACAGGAATGGCTCACGACATTTGCTCCAGACGAGGACGCGCTTATTCATCAGTTTCGTGCATATCTGCTAAACGCTAAAAGCTCCACGCCGAGTAAGTTTTTGAGTTGACGAAGGCTGAACGTCTCTCTAACAATGCTCGTGTCACGCAGCACCATCTATTTTCGGGCTGAAGGTTCCGAACGAACAGGATGTGAATCCTTTACTGCAAGCGTGCCTCGATGCCGTCACTGAGCATCAACGATTGCGTGCTCTTGTAAAAGGCGAATGGGTGAAAGGACTTCTCCCCCAGAGCAGTGTGAGATCAGATTATACGGTCCAACGTCTGCGAGGTACTCGCTTCTCTTTCTGTTTTTTTCTTTCTTCAGTTTTGACGAATGCGTGAAATATGTTCATCTTCCAGAGCTAGCCGAAGGCACTTGTGTCAGGAAGTACGAGTTTGCTGGAACGGGCGAAGTTTACGACAAGTCAACGAAGCGCTGGAGCTTGGAACTTCCAACAGACGCTCACCTCTTGGTCTACCTTTTCTGTGCGCTGCTGGAACACCCACAGTGGATGCTGCACGTCGATCCAACATCTCACCCGAGCACTCAGTCAGGCAACAATCCACTCTTTATCGCCAGCCTTCCACAAAAGGAGCGGTTTCCAGACAAGTATGTGGCAGTCTTATCAAGCGCTCCTCCAGTGTTACATGCTGGTGCGTGTATTCTAGCCGTCGGCAAGCAAAGTCCTCCTGTCTTTGCTCTCTACTGGGATAAGAAGCTGCAATTCTCGCTTCAGGTAAACAAGCTCTCTTCCATTTTTATCGCTTCTCTGAAAGAGTGTTTCTCCAGGGACGAACCGCACTGTGGGACGCGATTTTGCTCCTTTGTCATAGGATCAAAGTCGCGCATGGTGGGATTGTTAGAGGCATCAATCTCGGCGGCCCGGCTTTTAATCTTCTGTCGCTGCTGGAACAGCCTTGTGGCGAGAATTAGCGAAAGAGTCATCTTCACTAGCTTTATAGTTCGGGAAGGGTACTTATTTTATAGACATATCTAATTTTAATGTTCACATCCTTCTACAAATTATTAACTTGACAAAAATGTAAGAGTAAATAATATAATTTGTTTTAAATTTTATATTATTTTGAAAAGTAAAAAATAATTTATTATGCTACTTTACAAAATAAAATATATAAGTAATAAAAGGAAATAGCTTGAAATAATTAAGTTTGTAAATGTTTGATTAAGAGTTTGTTCATATTTAGTAACAAATAGGTCTTAAGTTTAACTATATTAATTAGTTAATAATAAGCAATTCTTTGAGATCCATAAATGCTTGTTCACAATCCTTATATCATACAAAAGATGATGTTGACAACTTTAGTTAATACTCACAATAGTGCAATACGATTAAAAAAATGATTGACAAAACAATTGAGATATTACACTTTGCCTAGGAAGCATTGTATATCATTCATACACTTCAAAGTAGGGAATTTCAAAATAACTATAAATTTGTCAGAATTAACTTGCAAACCTTCATGAGAAATATAATAAGTTGTGTCCTTAAATCTAAAGATGCATTTAAACTATTTTAACTTTAAACTAAATTCCCGCAGCCATCCCAACACTTTACGAACATCATAGATATGATCCTCCCATGTCCCTTCCAATTGGATTAAGACATCATTATGAAGTTAATAGTCACTTTTGGCATATCATAGAGAATCTCATCCATCATTTGCTAAAAAGTCATTGAAGCATTGTTCAAATTAAATGGCATTACCATCAACATTAGATGAATTTGTGCTAAGTGAATCCTTTGATAGTACTCCCAAAAGAAGGATGAAAGGGTCATTGACTTATTTATATGTGCAAGGATCCCCCACTATTCACATAATTATTCATTTACCAAAAGAATCTCTATGTTAAAACTTTCCATGGTAGCAACACAAATAGGACATTGTTGACGCCAAAGCCTCCACCTAGGAAATAGAGGATGTTAATTTGGAAAACACTTATGTATGAATCCACTCATTCTTTGCTAAATGTGGGTCTTCTTCCTTCTCTAGCGGATGCTCTCTTCTCTATCAAGCAGCAGCTGGGTCCTTCAAATGCAAATCTCTCTTCTTGGGCTGGATCCGATCCTTGCAATCCTCTGTGGAATGGTGTCGGATGTACTGGAAACCGTGTTACAGCTCTGTAAGTCTTGGAAACTTTAATTCCCTTTGTGATTGGTGTGTTGTGTTTGTATATCAGGAACTTGACAGGGTTTGGCTTGATCGGAAGCTTTCCAGATGAGCTGGGAAACATCACAACGCTGGCAGATCTTGACCTCCAGGAGAACAACATTACGGGGCCCGTGCCAAAGTCCTTGTCGAGATTGTCCACACTGAGATCACTGTAAGTTTACAGCAACAAACTTCGTCTTCTTTTGTTAGGCTTGAGAGAACTTATCAAGAACTTATCTCACTCCTTTCCCATTTTTCAGGGTAAACCATCTAGCAAGAGGGTGTTGGGGGAGGTGGTGATGCTTCTAGCAGTGAATCCTCAATCTCAGATCGCATGGTAAAGATCGCATCAATGGAATTCAAATTCCACTCAAGGAAGCCTCTAAGATTTATCATGAGTGTCAACTCAGAAAACAAATGTGGAGGAGCTTTCCTTTGTCCAGCCCCACTACAAAACAATGCCTTGAACTTCTTCATACAGATCACAATGCCAATATGTGTAGCCAACCTCATCACATGCTTAGTAGTGCATATCACAGCTATGACCATATTTTTGTGTTTGTCCTTAAACATGAACAACAACAATATCAACCTCCATCAAAACAAGACCATCTTCTATAGAAAGTGGAGCTAAAAGACATGCAATGAGAAGTGGAAGAGGCAATGTTTTATAATATTGTGCTAATTGAAAAATATCATTAAAGGTGGCTAAAGCAAATGCATGCATAAAGTCCACAAGATTTTGACAAAGTGTTAGCTAATAACATTCTCAACTTGATTTACTCTAATGGCTTTACATAAAATAAGGGTTTTAAAAGCAAATGCCAAATTGCATCACTCACTCAATTGGCCTTTGACGAAAATGATATAATTGTTAAAACACATCATCACAATTATAAACATGTCCAAATGTATGCTTGAAGATGTTTGGGAAAATATTCTAATCTACATGAGTGGCTACACTCAAACTATTGTACCATTATAATGCCGTTTGGAGATATGTGAAACTCATACAAATGCCAAGCATCATCTTAAAAATGTGAGGGTTAGTAATAAGAATAGAAGGAGTTGTACTACACGCCATGAATACTACCATCAATTGAGTCTAATTGTTCAGTTCTATCTGCATAATATCAAGCAATTGCACCAACTACTATTTCAGAGTCAAAATAGGAAGAGGAAGAGGCTATTGTTTTGCTATGAAAATTAATAAAAAAGGAATATTAAAAGAGAAGAAAATGGAAAAACTATAAAGGAAGTAAGATCTAGATAATGCAAAAGTTAGATCTAAACTAAAAGCTCAAATCTAAGCATTTCTTAGGAATAATTAGAGTTGCCTTATGTGATGGATAAAATATAGAAATGGAATACAAAAAATGTGTATATTAATTAACCCAAAAACCATAGCTTATATATAAAAGCAAGAGGTATAAATTAAAATCAATATAATAGCTATCAAAATCCCACTATATTAATTTTAGTGTATTGGTCATTAATATTAGTATATAACATTGTAGCAATATACTTGGAACTTAAAATATATATTTTTGAGAGGACACCTTACTTAAATAAAAAAAAACTTTATGTATCATACAATTTTTAACTAAATTATAAAAAAAATTATTCACTGTGTTTTCACTATAAATTTTACACCTTTGTAAATAAAAGATAAAAACAATAGTTTAGAGTTAAAAAAGATTTTTTTTAGAAAGATCCCTTAAGTTTAGGTTATTATAAACTGTTAAATTTTAATTTTATCCAGTTTTGGTATATCTTGATTACACTTGACTTTTCATTTTGCATATGAATGCTTTTGATATCGGTCTTGGGGGTGTTTTGATGTAAAAGAGCACAAGTGTCCTTAGTCAATGTCATCCTATTACATATATTAGGCATACATTACAATCATTAAAGATGAATTATTTCACGATAGAGAAGGAGCATTTTAGTAGTAGTTTGGGGTTTCGAGAAGCTTCATATATATTTATATAGTTCTTGGACATTACTAAAAAGTGATTATGCTGCAATTACTTCATTATTAAAATGGAAGAACTTTATTAGTTGTACTTCTTAGTGGGCTCTAAAGCTTCAAATATATAATTTTGAAGTTGTTCATCACTCAAGGAGTTTTATAGTTAATGTTAATACCCTTCCTCAAGCTCTTCTTTCTTCTTCAATCTCTTCTTTTATTCTTGAAGAGCCTATTATTCTAGCATTTATGAATTTTTTGAATAAGGATTTCATGTTATTGGCAGTTATTATACTTGATGTTTATTGTTCATAAAGCGTAAAACAAGATTTATTTTCTTTTGACAAAGTTTGCAAGACTCAAAAGGCTGTAATATTTATAATACTCCCCCTCGTGCTATGGAAGGATGGTTGGAGTCAATTATAATTTTCTGTCCGCTTAACTTGGTGGCATTTGATATAATAGGGTTTTTTCCATAGTCGACTGTTGGCAATGAATATGTCATTATTGGTTTTCACTATTTGACTCACTAAATGAATTGTAATGCCATTGTTGTTCCACTTGTATGTAGCCTAAGTGTTCAATAGACTCCATTCAAACAAGTGGAAAAATGTTCATCAAATATTAATCTTAAGACCTAGCATTAGCAATTTGTAGCAATCACAAAGGTAAATTCAACTTTATTGGTAGTATTGAATCATGATTATATAAGAGTTTATATAAAGAAGCACTAATAAAACTCTGTACCCCTATGATATATATATACTAGAGAGATGGCAAATAACCATTTTAATTCGAATGTTAAAAGTTCATATATTTCACGATCATTCCTTTGAATAAGCTCTTTTATCAAACCATCTATATGTGGATGATAAACACTTGTAAAAGTGTGGTATATCTCCAATTGAGATATTAAAATGTGAAATGCTTCAACCATAAATGCGAGACCATTATTTGAGAGAATCCACTCTAGACAGAAATGTTAAAACACCACTTAATTAAGGAGGAAGTATCCAACAACAGTTGCAAATGCATTAGCAAGAACACTAACTTTCCCATCATTGTCCACCTACAGAATATAAAATGAATGCTTTAGTGTTAGTTTGTTTTCTTAACTTTACAGTATGTAGTTTGTCTAAGGGGCTCCTTGTTCTGTGAAAAGGATTGTATTAGATGTTATAGCAAGTTGGACTACAAGTTTATGAAGTTCGGTATAATGTTCAACATGTCAATCCTCCAAACATTATGCATATGCAATGGCTAAAACACTTCGTACAAAGAGATTATGAATAATTAATACCAGCTATAAATCCACTGGTGCCTTTTCGTGATGTTCTTTCAGATCCTACTGTATTAACTAAAGAATGTTGGCTACCTTCTATCCTTTCAAGAACCAGATGATATGAAATGCAAATGTACAATTGTGATGTTATATACTAATATTAATAGTTGTACATTACGATTAATTTAATGGAATTTTGATAGCTATCGGATTGGTTTTAATCTGAACTACTCACTCCTATATATAAGCTAGGGTTTTTGGGCTAATAGATATGTTTATTTCTGCATTCCATTTCCATATTTCATGCACTCAAAATATAAAATATATTATGTAAATAAATTTTTAATCTTCAAAATAATTATTGTTATTACAAATGAATATAGAATCAATCTATGAAGAAATTAAAAAATAAATATATGAAAAATATAAATTTTGATAAGATGATTAAATGTTATTTTCATAAAAATTCTTAAATGCATATGTCTAATTTACTTAGTTTTTTTGATTTGAAACATTGACCAAAACATAACAAAAATCAAATATAAAGCACACCAAGTTTACTATCTACTTTATTTAGTATAAATAATAAAATTCAAATTAAATATTATATATTAACTTCATATTAAAAATATGAATTTTATAAAATTTTAATATTTAATGTACTTTTGTAAGATCTCATGTTTTAGTAGCTACATATTAACAAACTCTTAGTTAAATATTAAGAAAATAAAAAAATTTACTATGTATTGCATGTAGCAACACTTGGTTTGCTTAATGGTAGTGTTATTCCTACTTATTAATCTAATTGATCAAATAAAATTTTATAATTATAAGCATGTTTGTAATTTATAAACACAAGATTAATCTTATTGTATATCAGCCATTAGATGGTAGAGTAAAATAGAATATACTAGAAAGTGTTTAAGAAAGTTTATAAATTATAAACATATTTATATTTTATAAATACAAGATTAATCTAAATGAATAAGAACCATTAGATGGTAAAATATTCTAGAATATCCAAACATATTCTAAGTATATTCACTACCATACAAGGAAACCAAAAATATAAACCTTATTTATTTCAAATTACTTAATCACCCTTCTTACTTAATCAATAATCAATATTGTCATATTCTGTGCACCTAGCTATGATATAGGTTTGCACTATTTCTACCTGTTTTCAATCTAGGCATAAGCAAGCAATCCTCTAGTTTGTTCTCTACTGGGACACTATAACTTACAGTTCAATGTAAACAATAAAATAATGATGTTGAGGATCTCTGGTGGGATTCTTAGAGATCTTGGCAGCCCAGCTTTCAATCTTATGTTGCTCCTTAAGGTTAAGCCCAACACTTGATGATGTATCATTTTGTTGCTAGTTTCAATTATTGCTACCTGGAAGATTCTAAATTTTTTTTACCTGGATTTGACCATGCAACGACATCATGCAAAGAGAGGCCAGCGGATCCTCCCACGCTGGTACCGCCACGTGGACGATCCAGAAATTTTTGGGTTTATACGCATGCCGTAGCTATTTCCTTATAGAAGAGAGGCTCTCTCACTTTCGATCCAATCCATCGCTGGCATTCTGGAATGCCAGTGTAGTGCTAACAGGAAATAGGGTTTTACGAAGCGTTTGGAGACATGGCGCTCCACCACTCTGCCGCCGCCGCTACTGCTCCCTCGATGCTTCAGCGATCGGAGATGCTCTCGGCGCCCTCGGAGATTGCCGCTCTTAGATTCCCGGCGCTCGATTCGACGAAGAATCTCCGGATCGGTAAGCTCTCTGCTCGAAATATCCGACCGCCTTTTAGATTTTGGCAGCCGGCATTCCTCGTTCTTGCGCGATCTACATGATTCGTGATCGCGATTCCTCGCAGGTCACAGGCAATGCTCGCCCTCGCCCCGGGCAGTGGCCTCGGCGGCAGCGACGGCAGGTCCCAAGCGCGAGACGGATCCAAAGAAGCGGGTCGTGATCACGGGCATGGGACTGGTGTCCGTGTTTGGCAGCGATACCGACAAGTACTACGACAAGCTCTTGGAAGGAGTAAGTGGAGTGGCTGCCATCGATCGGTTCGATGCCTCACAATTCCCTACCAAGTTCGCGGCACAAATCCGGGATTTCTCGGCCAAAGGCTACATCGATGGCAAGAATGACCGCCGCCTGGACGATTGTCTTAGATACGGCATTGTTGGTGGCAAGAAGGCCCTCGAGCACGCTGGACTAGGAGGGGAAAACCTGGATAAGGTAACTCAAAAGCCAACTCTCTACTAAAGCTAAGTTTTTCTCATGAGAACTTGCAGGTTGACAAGCAACGAGTTGGTGTTCTAGTCGGTTCCGGAATGGGAGGACTCAGTGTCTTCTCGGATGGTGTTCAGTCACTGATCGAGAGGGGCTACAGGAAGATCACTCCATTTTTCATTCCTTACTCGATTACCAACATGGCTTCTGCGATGCTGGCTATCGAGCTGGGACTTATGGGGCCGAACTATTCCATTTCGACGGCTTGTGCTACCTCGAACTACTGCTTCTATGCTGCCGGGAACTCAATCCGAAGAGGCGAGGCCGATATCATGATTGCCGGAGGCACCGAGGCAGCCATTATTCCAGTTGGTCTTGGCGGATTCGTAGCTTGCAGAGCTCTCTCTCAAAGGAACGACGAGCCTCAAACCGCGTCCCGGCCGTGGGACAAAGGTCGTGAAGGATTTGTCATGGGTGAAGGCGCGGGCGTCCTGGTACGTGTTTCTTAATATCTCGTCTTTGCTTGAGCTAATGTAATGACCACTCCGTACAGGTAATGGAAAGCCTTGAACACGCAAAGAAGCGAGGCGCTCATATTTTTGCGGAGTACTTGGGCGGTGCAGTGACTTGTGATGCGCACCACATGACCGATCCTCGTGCCGACGGACTGGGAGTGTCGACTTGCATAGAGAAAAGTCTTGAAGACGCCGGAGTGTCTCCAGAGGAGGTAAGACATCGCGTATTTTGCGTGACTTTCTTCTTTTTTCCTTCAACTACTATTGTGTGCGCGCGTAGGTGAACTACATCAATGCTCACGCGACGTCGACGGTGGTCGGTGATCTCGCGGAGATTAATGCCATCAAAAAGGTGTTTAGCGAATCCAGCGACATCAAGATCAACGCAACAAAGGTATGGAGTTTACAGCTTGATTGCGTTCTAACATCTCATGAAAAACAGTCTATGATTGGACACTGTCTTGGTGCTGCTGGAGGTATGGAAGCAATAGCAGTGATCAAAGCGATCACTACTGGCTGGCTCCACCCAACAATCAACCAGTTTGTAAGAAGCTCAAAACTTCCCCGAGTCCTGGATTGTTTTACTGAGACAAATCTGTTTGTGCTATCCTTTGCAGGATCCCGAGCCATCTGTAAACTTCGATAGAGTAGCGAACGTAAAAAAGCAGCACGAAGTGAATGTTGGTAAGCTCATAGAAAAAATCATTTGCTTTTTAGGAAGGATGCGAATGACAAATTGCTCGTCACAGCCATCTCGAATTCGTTTGGGTTTGGAGGGCACAACTCCGTCGTGGTGTTCGCGCCATACAACCCATGAAAAGGATGGATTTAAAGAGGCTATTACCTCTGAGAATTTTTTGGGAACTTTTATTTTTATAGAGGTAAAAATAAAATTACTTTTAAAATGATTTTTACAATTACTAGTTTTTATTTTTCCTTTTTCATTTGCATAGTTGACTTGTGTTGACTATAGTTGACCTTCAGTTATAACAATTGGAAGAATCCCTCCTGTGGGCGATAGATTCCTTGGTTCCATGAAAGCTCAAAAAGTTTTGCTACCTCGGACAAAATCCTTGGCTTTTAGATGTGAGTGAAGTTCAGAAGGCTGGATTGGATCGAAATTGTCGAATGGTTTACGGGGGATGTTGCTCAGCTAACGGAAGAAAAGGTGTCTACAGTCACTGGATATAGCTTTTCTGGTTTTAACATGTCCTCGACAAAGCGAAATGACAGGTCCCTTTTTTCGCAAACAATTTTCAAGAGATGTAGAAGACACACAAGAGCTTATAACTCGGCTTGAAAGTCGGCTCCGCATTGCGAGATAAGCTCATGGATTCCGAGTTATTCCGGTTTATTTCCATTCGTCTCGAGCAGCGCTCGCTTACAGGCTGCGCAAAGACGACCGGAGTCCGTGGAGTGCGTCACCACAGGAGACTTGTGATTGCCTTGCAATATCTGCGCATTCAATGGCCCGGCGAGCGTAAGCATGGAGTAAGCTTCTTGTATAAATAGCCTTGGGTGTGCTTGGGAATCGAGAACGCGAGAGATCGTTGTTTCTGTTTTTTCGTTCTTTTTTTCTCGAGCGGCACGCCGGTGCATAGATCTCAGCTTTCATGTAAGCCTTAAATGGATTCAATGGATTCAGGACGCTCTTTCTGCTTCTCACTTGTTCTTTCGTTGTTGCAGTGTCTAGAGTTTTGGAGCCGGAGGGAATGGATCAAAAGACCGTGACGACGCTGTTGAAAGCGTTTTTCGTCGTTGCTGCTCTCGCGGCTTCCGCTTCAGCTGACCCGGACCAGCAACCGCCGTGCAACACCTTCATGAGCGTCCTGAGCTGCCAGTCGGCGACGATGAGCGAGAGCACCATGCCCAGCCCGGCATGCTGCGCCGCGCTCCGAAAGTTCCACGACGCCGACTGCCTGTGCCAGGTTCTCCTCTCGGCCAGGAGCGCCGCGGCCATCGCCAACGTTCCCTTCAACTTGAAAGCGGCGCTCGAGATTCCCATGAAGTGTGCGCTGCGCACCGTCAGCGCTCCCCCGGGATACTCCTGCGGAGGTATTGACATTTCTCTGTCTGCAGACATGTCTCGTAACTTTGCTCGATCTTGGCAGGCATGGTGGTTCCTCGATCGCCTCCGCCAACTTCTACTTAAAAACCATCGCTTCCAAGATAATCAAGCAAGCGTCCTTCGTCTCTCTCGCACTGGATCATCTTAGTTAAGTGTGCAGCTATGCCAGTGAATAAAGCTTGGGCTTCGCTCGCTCTAGAGCTCAAGCGTGCTAGCAACAAATGCACTGTGCTCTCTAGCTTCCATCCAGAGCTCCAGGTAGTGCAGGCCAGCGCCAGCGCCAGCGCTCTCTTGTCAGCTTCTTCCACAGGATTCTTGATGTTCTCTCCTCGAGATCTCGTCAGAGAGAGCATGGGTGTGGCTGCTGCTACTGGATCGCGCACTGGGGCCGCTGACTCTTGCTGGCTTCATCGATTCACAAGCGAGCGCTAGCTTGCGATTAAATGATTCGTCTCGTCGGGTCTATAGTGTCGTCTCGTTCGTGAGCTCTTCTCTCTAGCTTCAAGAGCGCCAAAGCCGAGGAGATTCGTGAGAGAAAGAGATCCAAATCCAAGAAAGAAAAAGATAAGAGCGTGGACTTTAATTCGTGGCGTAAGTAAGAGGGATCGACGGACCCCTGTTATAGAAACTTTCCTCCTCCGTTCCATCCTCGTTATAGTAACAGGTCCCTGTTATGTCACCTCTCTGCCCGAGGTGAAAAGTGGCCCTTGGCCTAGCTACGGTTTCACGATTCACGAACGGACGGCCATTTTTTCACTTTTTTACTTCGCTGCCCGTACCGTTACTTACCACTGCGGCACTGCCCGCCCGTAGAGTCGCCATAGCTGGCCTGGGCACAAGCTTCTGTACGCCGTAGCACTCCGTATGGAGAGAAAGAGAGAGAATCTAGTTAACCAGAAATTACCATGTCACTCACTCGGGTAAGATCTCCCGGTTCTTACGTGAAGCTCTTTACGTGCGCGCTTGTTTTCTCATTCATGCCGTGGTTATTCTACAGCAAAAATGCAGTATATTCCCCGCCCAGGTGTACCGCGAGAGGAATCCGGGTCTCATGTTTCCAACGTGGGGTTGGTCTCGTGCTTGCGTGGCGAAAATCTCTCTCCTGATCTTTGGAAAAGTTGCTTGTCTTGATTTGCCGACCAAATTTGTTCGCCCGCCCTTTTGCCCTAAAATGTTGTGTACGGACATACATTGAACTGGGGCGAGCGTATTGTTTATGTTGTCGCCCCGTACTCTACAGGGTCTGGGCTCTTGTCTGGGGCCTGTCGACAGCCTTGTCTAGCCAAGAACACACAGACAGGAGAAATTTTCAAAGAATTATTGTGTGGATCCACAGAGAGAGAGAGAGAGAGAGAGATAGAAGGAGAAGTAACCTTTTTTTTAATCTTGTTTGTGGGACATTCGCTTTGAGAGAATGCGAGTGGAAGGAGAGAGAGAGAGACCACAGAGACCTTCTCTTCTCTTTTCTTTTTTTTTTCTTTGCGTTTTTTAGGGTTGTTTTTGTTGCTGGAGAAGCAGCAGCAGGCATTCATCGCTCTGATTGATCCATACAGCGGCATCGGGGACCGAGCCCTAAAACCAGATGATAGAAATAAACTCCTTTTTTTTGTCCTCGCTCTCTAAGCCGATCCTTGTCAAAGTTGGGAGTGTCGTGTCTCTCCTTTTTTCTGGACTAGACTGTTTCTTCAATTCCGCTGATTGTGAAAGCGAGAATGCAAAGGTGGTGGCAGTGGCAGGGGCACGGGGGGCAACAACCAGGTCAACATATTCGTATTTTAAAGCCCTAAAATCATCCGGATGCAGATCTTGCTTGCTGCACTACAAATGTGCCCCCGTTCATATTGGTTTTTATAACGCCGCGCGCATCTTTGCATGCCCTAATTTTGTTTGCCAGGTGGTGGAGACTTTTGTGAGTTTTGTCCCTGCTAAATACCTATAGCTACGAGCCACAATTACTTGCATACCACGTTGGCGCCGGGATCATTTCACGGCTAGCCACCGGCTACGTAGACTTAGACCTGACCTGTACGGCCGGGAATACATTGTAGCTGGCGCCAGTAACTACTAGCCAACGTAGACTCGTCATAAGTAAAAACGCTCCAGGTGAAAAAAAAGAGGCCCTTCCTTTCACCACACTTGAGGGTCGTCGTCAATGCAATTGCGCTGTGGCCTCACGCAACGCAAGAAGAATTGTATCGTTCTAGGGCATTAGTATAACGTGTATTATAGCTGGCCATGGCCAGTGTGTATGTACCACGGTACAACGCCCCCCATTGCTTTGCCAGGTTCTCGGGACGGCTTTTGATGACGATGGCCGGCGGTGGTCCCCGGTTCGAGCCGGGGGTGGAAATGGGCGCGTACGGCCGGCGGCGGGGCGGCCACCGTACGACGGCGGGGAATCGCGGGTGGAATATTTGCGCTTTTGCCCTTTAGCGAGGTGGAAAGGCTTGGGGGGTAATTTTTATCCCTGGTCAGGTGCTCGTGTGTGAGGGTGATTTCTTGCGTGTGTGGCGTGAGATTTTGATTCCTCTGCGAGAACAGCGACCCGATCGAAACTCCAAGGCGTAAGAGTTTGGGTGATTGAGGTGGCTTGATTCTGTGTGGGGGGGAATTTGGGCTATCATAATCACCAGTGACCACCGCCTGCAAAGCGGGAAGCATTAGCCCGTGAATTATTTGGAATGGCATCATTACTTGCTAAGCAATGTCGGGGAATCCCTCGCTAAAGCGAGTATTCAAATAATTTTTATAAAAGTCAATAACTCTGCAAGAAACATAAACCTCCAAAGCTGGAACATAGCGTTATATAGAGGAAAATAAAAGGAAAAAAAAAATAAAGAATAAAGATGAGCAAATTTGAGCTTGTTATTGTTGTTTGTATGTTGTCTTGGAGATTCCATCCTCCAATTGCACAACATTGCAACACTTCTCTCCTTTTGACAATTGGTCTTACTCTCTCTCTCTCACACACACACGCGCCTTATCCACAAAATGCCCACAAAGTACAATTGGAAATCAAAACCCTCACACAGAGCTATCTCACCAACCAGCTCGCTCGCAGCAAGTTACTTTGTTACTTTGTGAAAAGTGAAATAGATGCCGCCGAACATTCCATAGAACATTCCCAAGCATATTCTGTGGAAAAAGTAAGAGACGTACCTAGATTAAAACAAGGTGTATATTGTGGGCTCCAAGGAAAACAGACCAGAAGCAAGCAAGGAGACATGCCCCCCAACCGACCCACCATTGGCTCAGCAGGCCCAGGTATATTCCCCCAGTTCCTGCGATGTGGCCCCCACCATGGCCCCCCCGTGTGTGAGCTCCAAGTGGTCCCCACTTGTGCCGGGTGCCGCATGGACATCCCCACCATGGGCGCGGTGGCGTGGCGACATAAGTGGGCCACCGCGCGGTGATCCCCTGCCACGTCATGTGCCCGCCACGTCAGTTGGGACATCCGTAACAACCATACCCATGTTGGACGGTGGCGATCCCTCCCTTTATCCTTTTAATGTCCTTTCTTTAGACCGGATTTAAAAGTAATCCCCGCTCGGCGGGATACCTTAACGGAGTCCTAGGGTGACCTTAACGGCGTTTGCGGGGGCTTTTGACGGCGCTAGTTAAAACTTCACACCCAATTGCAAGCAATAGGTGGGCGAGCTCCCGGCTTGGCGATGGACTCCTTTTCGTCGCTCAGCGCCTCCCTCTAAGCGCCTTGGGCTAGGGTTTCGCGGCGAGGAGGGGTTGCGCTCCACGGCTGGGCGCTAGGGACGGGCAGGGGCTCGGAATATCGTGTTCTTGGAGGGGATTAGGCGGGGTTGTGCGTTCTTGTGGGCAAAGGTAGACGCGCGGCTCGGAAATTCCCTGAAATTTCGGGGTTTTCTTGTGATTCTAGCGCTAGCTGCTTGTGATTTGGGTGGAATGGCTTGGAAATTTCGTGTAGGAACGCATCCCCTTTCTCGACGTTGTCTTTGTGACGCTCTCTTTCCTGCCCTTCCATCGATCTGGTCTTGTCTGGCTTGTCTGGCTTGGAGTCTGGCTTGGAGTCTCTGTGAGATTTCTGTCAAGCATTGGCATCCTTGTCTCAAGATTTCGTATCAGCCGACTCACGATGGAATTTTCTTCGTCGCAGGGGCTTGGATTTGGGACAAGGATGTGTTACGAGCGGCTTGGCTCGTAGAAGGCGATGTTGTCCTCTTCGCAAACGTATGGGCAGCTAGGGACGATGATGCACCGCCCTACTCCTCAGCGTCCACAGCCCAATCATGGTAAGCAAAGGTTTTAAAGCTCGCCATTGACGGGGAGATAGAGATCTCTCCCGTGAGCGTTTATAAATCCCGTCAAGTTTTAAAGCTTGTCTGCCTAACACCTCTCTCCCCTTTTCTCCTCGCAGGAAACACTAATGCACTAGACTCGGAGGTATGGCATGCATGCGCAGGGCCACTTGTGTGCCTCCCCCGTGTAGGAGATCGGGTGGTTTATTTCCCTCAGGGTCACATAGAACAGGTGCACCATTGTTTGGTAGGCTCAGAGGACGCGCACTAAAGTCTTGATGATTGTTTTGCAGGTAGCGGCATCCACAAATCAGAGCGCGGATATGCAAATGCCGCATTACAATCTCCCCTCCCAGATTTACTGCCGACTTCTAAACTTAACGCTGGGAGTAAGTTGGTCACCCTGGTCTTCCGGTTTCACGTTCTGATCGATCTTCTTCTTCTTTCTCCTCGTAGGCGGACCGTGAGACTGACGAGGTTTTTGCTCAGATGACACTAGTTCCCGAGAACGAGGTAGTTTTCCATGGTTTCAAAGCCGGTTGCTTACGAATTCCTTACAGCAAGGAGATCAGTCGATTGATACCGAAGATGAGCTATCACCGTGTCCAAAGAGGAAGCTGTCCATGTTCTGCAAGAACTTGACGTCCTCGGACACAAGCACGCACGGAGGGTTTTCGGTGCCACGGAGGGCAGCGGAGGAGTGCCTACCTCCTCTAGTAAGCTCGAACTGTCTACTCGGTGCTTACTGACCACCTGGTTCCCTTTTCAGGATTATCAGCAGTCGCCTCCAGCTCAGGAGCTGGTGGCCAAGGACTTGCACGGTGTGGAATGGAAATTCAGGCACATCTACCGAGGACAGCCAAGGAGGCATTTGCTTACCACCGGCTGGAGCGTGTTCGTCAGCCAGAAGAAACTTGTAGCTGGCGACGCAGTGCTCTTCCTGAGGTATGCATTGTATCAGGCCATGATGTCTGGCTCTGACTGACATGGTCGTGTGCAGGGGAGACAATGGAGAGCTACGGATTGGAGTTCGGCGTGCCGTAAGGCAGCAAAACAGCGTTACATCGTCATCCTTGTTATCCAGCCATAGCATGCACTTGGGTGTTCTTGCTGCAGCCGCCCATGCAGTTTCAACAAAGACTATGTTCACGATCTTCTACAACCCACGGTTTGTTGATGAAAATCGACTCGACTGAACAGACATCTCACTTGTTTTCTATATGCAGAGCAAGTCCTGCGGAGTTCGTTGTCCCTTACCACAAGTATGTCAAGGCTTTTACTCACAACTTGTCTGTCGGGATGCGATTTAAGATGAGGTTCGAAACGGAGGAGTCATCCGAGCGACGGTAAGCTGTCACTTTTCCATATGACACATTGATGGACGATATTTTGTTCTAGATATATGGGAACTATAACTGGGGTGGGAGATATCGACTCGGATAGATGGATCAACTCCAAGTGGCGATGTTTGCAGGTATGCTTGAATTTAGCTCGCAGCTAGATACTTACATCGGAGTTATACAGGTTGGCTGGGATGAGCAGACCGCAAACGAAAGACAGGAGAGAGTATCGCCATGGGAAATCGAGCCGTTTATAGCACCCAACGTTGCCAACCCTCCTACCACGCAAAGGGTGAAAAAGTTCCGGCCAAACACTCCAGCCAACGAATTTCCGACAGGCAAGAACAACTCAGATTCTGCCCAAGCGATGCATATGAGGGCCTTGCAAGGAAGTCATGCGCTGGGTATGCCCTCCAAAGAGGAGGAAGGACTCCGAGGATCGTCCCCGTTTGCTGTTTGGCCATACAACCGAGACGATCTTAAAGGTGAAAGCTGGATACAGTTGCGGACGGCAGATGCACCAGTGATGGATATGTTCGGAAATATTATTGCCCCCGCTGGACGGCATATGGATTCCAGCAACGTTGAGATGCACCAGCAGCTGAGGCATTGTCTGCAGCAGCTAAGGGACCAGAAGAGCTGCCACTTCGACGCAAGCAATTCTCAGGTGCAACTGAGCCCGAGGCTATCATCTTTCTCACCGTATCAGCAAGGTGACGCTGCAGACCTGCACCTTTCTACACCGAGGCCGACAAACCACGGCGTGGTGCGGGATAGTTCTTGGCTCTCACCTCTGGGGCCAACACAAACAGATGCACAGGCCTACGTTGCAGCAGACACGACGCTATCTATGCAGTTTTCAAAGTCGGAAATGACGACCGAGCGCATGCATATAGATTCCAACCCAGATCACGAACCCCGCGAGCACAGCTGCAAGATATTCGGCTTCTCTCTGATCGAAAAGTCGCCGCCAGCGGCCAGCAGGAACCCCGAGGAGGCGA